ATATATATATATATATAAATCAGGTCGGTGGACCATCATGGACAGTGAAACTTGGAAGAAGAGACTCTACCACTGCTAGTCGAACACTGGCTAATGCCAACCTTCCTAGCTTTACAGCTTCTCTTGAGAGTCTCATTTCACAATTCCGCAATAAAGGATTAAGTGAAAGAGATATGGTTGCTCTTTCAGGTTTGTGTTCTACCTCAAGCGCAGTTTTGTCTTTGGCTTGCCATGTTGTATATAACTATGGCTAATATAAGATTTGATTATTACACAGGAGCTCATACAATTGGCCAAGCTCAATGTCTAACTTTCCGCAATAGGATTTACAGTAATGGAAGTGATATTGATGCTGGCTTTGCTACTATTAGAAGACGCCGATGTCCGGCTGATCCCAACACAGGGAATGGAAATCTTGCACCGCTCGATTTGGTGACACCAAATTCTTTTGACAACAACTACTTTAGAAATCTTCTTCAAAGAAAAGGTCTTCTTCATTCAGATCAGGTCCTTTTCAGTGGCGGATCGACAGACAGTATTGTTAATGAGTATAGTAGCAGCCCTTCAACTTTCAGTTCTGATTTTGCTTCTGCTATGGTAAGGATGGGAGATATTGAACCTTTAACTGGTTCTCAAGGACAGATTCGCAGACTATGCCGTGTCGTTAACTAATTCATTTTGCTATCAATATTTGTTTTTATTACAGTGTCATAAATGTTGTATGCTATAAAAATATATCGTGGGAAAAAAGCCTGAGCAAGATGGATTTCTTCAAGTAATATTTAGAGCACTTTTATCAACTTGTTTTGTGAGAATTTTGTAATTCTGTTCAGCCACTACCAAATGTTTATGATATATATATGGGAAAATTATTATTATGTCCTTAAGGTTTTACATAATTGTTTAAATAGTCCTCGATATTTATATATATATTTATAACGTCCCTGAGGTTTGCCACCGTCATATTAATTGGTCCTTCCGTAAAAAAAAATACATTTTTTCCGTTAATTTTGAGAAGAAAAGATTCCGTAAAAAAAAATTACATTGTTTCCGTTAATTTTTGAGAAGAAAAGACCGGTTAATTTTGAGAAGAAAAGACGAAATTATTCTTTGAAAAAATAATTATTTCGTCCCTGAGGTTTGTCATAATTATTAAGTAGTCCTCTACATTTATACAAATTTATAACGTCTCTGAGGTTTACTTCTCTCATATTAATTGGTCCTTCCATAAAAAAATACATTTTTCCCTTTAATTTTGAGTAGAAAAGACGAAATTATCCTTTATAAGTTTTCATTGACATTATTATTAATCCCGTTCCTCTAAAATACATGAAACTCACATTTTCACCATTTTCCTCAATCCAACGCGGTCTTTATTGCCACCACCGTGTTAATGAAAACTATCATCTCCATAATCAGATCACTACCAAAACTAAAACCCAACATCCAAACTCAATTAAGCCATCATCACCCTTCATCCATTTATCTCTCTCTCCTTGATTAGATTATTTAGGGTAGTTTGGTCATTCTATTAAAAATTAATAGCAAAAAGTGTATTTTGTGGACGAAAGGACCAAGTAATATGACGAAAGGAACCTCATGGACATTATAAATATTTATATAAATGGCAGGGACTACTTAAATAATTATGGCAAACCTCAGCGACGAAATAATTATTTTTCCTTTTAGTTTTGTTGGTGATCTGATTATGGAGATGATACTTGACAGAGACACTGGACAGAGGACACGGTCGGAGTGCGCAATTGAAAGGGACCGCGTGGGTTGAGGAAATAATTGTGAATAATTTGAATGTTTCAGGTATTTTTAAATGAAAGGGATTCGACTAAATAATGTCAATGAAAAACTTATTAAAGGATTAATTTCGTTCTTTTTCCGCTTCAAAATTAACCGGAAAAAAGCTGTAATTTTTTTTTATGGAAGGACCAATTAATATGACGGAAGTTAAAACCTCAGAGACGTTATACAATATTTTGTATAAATGGTTCAGGGACTACTTAATAATTATGGCAACCTCAAGGACGAAATAATTATTTTTTAAAGGATAATTTCATCTTTCCTCTCAAAAATTAACGGAAAAAAATTGATTTTTGACTCGGAATAAAAACAATTAATATGACGGTCGATAAATCCTCAAGGACGTTACTTAGATTATATGTATTAAATGTCGAGGCACTACTTAAAATAATTATGTAAAACCTCAGGGCGACGAAATAAAATAGATTGTTCGCCTATATTTATATATATATATAATATATATTATAATATATATATGTATTTACTTTCCTTATTAAGCTTTGGATGATGCTATGGAATTATATTATATATCAATATATACTTTCCTTATTAAGCTTTGGATGATGCTATGGAATATATATATATCAGCTACAAAATTCGCTTCTCTAAAAATTTAAAAAATATATCATATTATCTCCCTTTAGAAAAGGGGAAGTCATTCATGCAAGATAATCATATTAAATATATGAAAAAAAATAAAAGAGTTAACTATTTTCCCCGATATTAATGGCTGCATTATCATATCAAATAGGTCATTTCATTGTATTAATTAATGGATATCAAAGTCAATGTTAAAGGCCAATCAATTGATAATCTGGTTGGTCTTCTCATTTGTGTGAGAAGTGAGAGGTCTAGAGTTCGAGTGCTTTCCACTGCAGTTGTTTTTACCAATTTAGTGAATTAAGGGGAGGGTTACCCCATGTTGTGTAGCTTGTAGTGTTATTTCAGATCGCACAGGATAAAACATATTTGTACTGTTGTTTTCAAAGGTTAAAATAGAAAAGAATATGGAAGCCATCTATTGAATATTATTTTTCCAGGCATTATATGAGATATGGTCAAAATTCAAAAGTCTCAAATGACAAAGTAAGTACCTGCACTTCACCAGGTATATCCTAACTTTCTGTGTCTAAATGTGTTCTGCACCCGAAAAGAATAATTTGTATATAAAAATTAAAGAGGAGTGAGATTCCATTTCAAAATTTCTTTGATTTATTCTATTATAAATCAATTGACCTATTACCAATACCAATAAATAAAAAGCAAAACCCAGAAATTTCATTGTTTCAACACTAGCATTAAAGCGAGCTAACCACCACTTTTTTGAAGCAGTCCTACAATGAAAAGGTTTCTAAATATTTAGGGACAGGGCACTATAAATGGAATTAAATGCTTGTCTTTCTTTCTTCATCCTCTGCCTGAAATCTTCATTTCATATATTCAATCTCTTTTCTCTCACTCTTTTCATATAATTCAGAATGGCTTGTGTTTTTCTTCTAACACTTGCATGATTTTTGCATTACCTTTTATGGTTAGTTTCTCAAGCTTACCATGCAGTCAAGCGCAGCTTTCTTCTAAGTTATGACAATACATGTCCTGATGCACTTAGCTCTATTAGATCAGCTATTAGAACTGCTGTCTCGCGTGAACGTAGAATGGCTGCATCTCTAATTCGCCTTCATTTTCATGATTGCTTAGTTCAGGTAATATTAATCCATTTGAAATATAATTAAGTGGAGAATTGTGAACTAATTGTTAGATACTTTTACACTGCAGGGTTGTGATGGTTCGATATTGATGGATGATACACCATCAATTTCTGGTGAAAAATTTGCTCGAAATAATAACAATTTTGTCAGAGGATTCCAAGTCATTGATAATGCAAAGGCTCAGGTGGAGCGTATATGTCCTGGACTTGTTTCTTGTGCTGATATCGTTGCAGTAGCAGCTTGCGACGCATCTGTTGCTGTAATTATCATTAGCTTTAACACATTCACTTACTTGTGCTTAGTTGCTATAGAATTGTTTGTGATACAGGAGCACATACAATAGGGCAAGCAAGATGCTTTACCTTCCGCGGAAGGATATTCAACAATGCAAGTGATATAGATGCAGGATTTGCAAGCACCCAAAGAAGGCGATGTCCTGCTAACAATGGCAACGGAGATGGAAATCTTGCAGCGCTTGACTTGTTGACACCCAATTCATTTGACAACAACTACTTCAAAAATCTAATGCAAAGAAAGGGTCTTCTTCAGTCGGATCAAGGACTTTTTAATGGTGGTTCTACAGACAATATTGTAAATGAATATAGTAAAAGTTCTTCAGTTTTTAATTCTGATTTTGCTGCTGCTATGGTGAAAATGGGAGATATTGACCCCTTAACTGGTTCACAAGGAGAGATTCGAAGGCTTTGCAATGTTGTTAATAATTAATATTTTGTTTGTGGATTATTAATTGGAGTTCAAGTGTTGACAGTATTTTCTTGAATTTCTTAATTTGTTATTTTCAAATATTTACATCATATTATTCGTGTAATCATTTTTTTTTTTTTTTTTGTAATTGGAGTTCAAGTGTTGACAGTATTTTCTTGAATTTCTTTAATTTGTTATTTCAAATATTTACATCCATATTTATTCGGTTGTAATTCATTTTTTTTTTTTTTTGATTTTTTTTTTTTTTTTGGATAGAGTTGATTCTTTATGTGTGTTAAATTTGGTCCCAATTGTCAAATTAATAAATGTGAAAAAAAAAAAAAAGACAATAATTGCATACGGGCGGGACACCGTAGAATATTATGCTGTATAAAAGCCCGCTTGACATGGGCCTTTCTGCTCTCAACCTAGCCCATGTGCCTTTTCTTTTTCAATTTTTTTCCAATAGAAAATTAACCCAAATAAAATAATCCTAAATTTATGTTTAAATTGAAAATTTTTAAAGTGTCAACGTACATCAATCGTTTTTGAGTTTGGGATACTCGTCCAATTATAAAATTGAACTTTTTGTTACCAATTGATGTTGTTAGAGTTTGGTCTGCCTCCTCTTATATTTTATTATTAATACTATTAATTCCTGATAATTTAAGGTAATAAAAGTTGATTATTTCCTTTAAAAAAGACAAAAATTTTATTAAATAAAGTAACATTGAACATTCTTAGGTAGGTAAACGCATAATGGTCAAAACTATCCAAATACACACAAAAAAAAAAAAAAAAAAAAAAAAAAAAAAAAAAAAAACCATTATTAAGGTTTCTGACTCTGAACATCTTTAGCACTTTAAAGTTATTCTCGAAATGTGATTATTATTCTTCACATAGCCACAGCAGACTAAGGTGTTAAACACAAGCAGCTGGGGGGAAATCTCCTCAACCTCATATATGTTTCTTTTCTTTATTTAATCTGCCAAGACCTTGAGTTTCACAAAAAAAAAAAAAAAAAAAAAAAAAAAAAACCATATTAAGGTTCTGACTTTGAACATTCTTAGCACTTGAAAGTTATTCTCGAAATGTGATTATTATCTTCACATAGCACAGCAGACTAAGGTGTAAACACAAGCAGCTGGGGGAATCTCTCAACCGTCATATATGTTTCTTCTTTATTTAATCTGCCAAGACCTTGAGTTTCACAAAAGAATATGTCAATAAAGTTAATATTAGTAGGTAAATTTTATGTGTAAGGTCAGATTTTTAATTAAAAGAGCGAGAAAATATGTGTATAAATAAAAAAGAATAAATAAAAATTGCTAGAAATTCAAACACCAAATATTAACTAGCACATAATATTTTTGGCTAAATGCATAAATTCACTCTTGTATTTTCTAGAAAAAAAAATCTTGTGGCACACTAAAATTTGTGGAAGACTTATTAGGCCTTGAAGTTGTGAATTTTGGCAACATTGTACACTTAACACTAACAATAATAATTTTTTAATATATTTTTGGTTTTTATGTGTAAAATATTAATTTGATATGTAGTTAGTATAACTTTTGTAACAATAATTTTACATGTTTTAATTATTTAATAAGTATTTAATTCATCTAATTTTATAAATTGGAGAGTTCAACAGAATAATTTTATAAGTCGAAGTGTTTAGTAGCTAGGTACAATTTTATAAATTAAGGTATTTAATGGATTAATGTAAAACTTGAGAGTAAATAAAATTTTTTTATGTAAAATATATGAGTGAGTTTATGTATTTTGGCCTAACATTTTCTAAATTCATGATTAAAAATTAGAAGTCAAATAGATTATTACAAAAAACACCAAGAAAGTTCATGTAAATATATAAACTATGACAATATCCCTTGGAGAAAAGTCATAACATTTAGGGATCCGACCCTATAAATAGGGCACGAAGCCTTTCCTTATTCTTCATCCAGCTCCTTAATTCCTCTCTTAAACTACTCACTAGTTCAATATATATAAACTCTTTTCTCTCAATTTGCTTTCTGCTATTTGAAGAACACAAAAAGGAAAATATGGCTTATCCATTGTTTTCTGGTAATTGTATGGTTCTGACAATACTACTGTTGGTTTTGTCCGGTTTGCCTTGTAAAGCTCAACTTTCTGATAAAACATTCTATGACACGAGTTGTCCTGCTGCCCTTAATACTATAAGGGGAGCTATTAGGACAGCCGTCTCTCGTGAGCCAAGAATGGCTGCTTCTCTAATTCGCCTCCATTTCCATGATTGTTTTGTTCAAGTAATGTTTAATTATGTTCATACATAAATTTAACCATGTTATGATATTGATGATCATTAATATAATTATAGTTTTCATATAATATTGCAGGGTTGTGATGCCTCAATCATGTTGGACGATACACCTACAATGATGGGCGAGAAAAATGGGATCAACAATATCAATTCTGCTAGAGGATTTAATATCATTGAAAATATTAAGGCAGATTTAGAGACTCGGTGCTCTAGAACTGTTTCTTGCGCTGACATTCTTGCTGTTGCTGCTCGCGATGCATCTGTTGCTGTAAGTATCTTTATTTATTCTCTTTATTAATTTTTGTAATTAGCTTTCATCAATATATTTAATAATGTGATCTCTATATATATGTATGGAATATAGATTGGAGGACCAACTTGGCCAGTGAAGCTTGGAAGAAGAGATGCTACTAATGCAAGCGTAGACCTTGCTAATGATAATCTTCCTCGCTTTACAGATTCTCTGCAAAAGCTGCGTGATTTGTTCATCAGGACTAAAGGTTTAACTGAAAGAGATCTGGTTGCCCTTTCAGGTTTGTGTCAATTTATTTAGTTTACCTGTAGATTCCTTTTATATATATAATTAGATGGCTAAGATTTCATTTGGGGTATGGATATATGCATGCATACAGGAGCACATACAATTGGGCAATCAAGATGTTTCAGCTTTCGTGCAAGGGTTAATAGCAATGAAAGTATTGATCCTGAATTTGCTAGAAGTCTGAGAGAAGACCTTCCATGCCCAGCTGATGGCTCAGGAAATGAAAACCTTGCGCCGCTTGATCAAGTAACTCCCAACGGCTTTGATAACAACTATTTCAAGAATCTTGTCGAAAGAAAGGGCCTTCTTCAATCGGATCAAGTGCTTTTCAGTGGTGAATCTACAGACGCCATTGTTAATGAGTACATTAAAGATGGTTCTATTTTCAGAAAAGATTTTGCAGCTGCCATGGTGAAAATGGGAGATTTTAGCCCCAAAACTGGTAATCAGGGGCGAATAGGACAGTTCTGCAACGTAGTTTAATTGATCTCATCACTGATTAATGCTCGATTGTTTTCTTGATTATTAATTTGTTCTTATGGTACTTCGCAACAATAAAAATATAGTGGGAGAATAAGCATAAATATATGTAGCTTGAGCAAGATTTAATCCTCTCTCAGACAATATCCCGCTTGTTCAATTGTATTGTTAAATTATCCATGTCAATTGTGAAACATAGATGCTTTTGCTGTTTTTTTTATGAAATAATAAAATTTACCATCATTATATCTTTCTTTTTGTAATTAAATTAAATTAAATTAAATTTTCAAATGGCAATTAGAGTAATTTTAAGCTTAAAATAATGGTGCGGCTAGAAATTCAAAGATTTAACAATTAATCAAAGGATTCAGTATTTCCACATGAAATGGGTGAAATAAACATTATGAAAGTGGATTCAAGTCTAAATTCCTTCATATAAGACCCTCACCTATCTCTAGAAGCCAACGATTATAAAAATAAAAAACCAGATTTTAAAGAAAAAAACAAGAAAAATTTAAAATGAAAAAGAAATCGAACTTCATATTTAAAACAAGAAAGAATAAATAAATAAATAACAGTTAAGCACATGAATATGTCAAACGCACAACCCACCATTCTGACTTCGATTTTCATTTTATATTTTTTTAAACAATTCTGATTTGAATTTTTAAAAGAACTGCCTAAGCCTGGCTTTTGCAGGAGAATACGTAAATCCATGCACCAACTAGCTTGTACGAAAAATAGTTTTAAACGCATATTTAGCTCTCTGCGACATTTTTTTTTCTCGAATAATAATATGCATTTTTAACCATTGAATTCATTTATACGAGTAACAGATATATATATGACCAGAACGTGACAAAGCAAGGAGCAGGAGAGACTCACAAATGTGATCTTTGAGCCTCTCTTGTATTTTATTTTTTTGCCCAACTTTGGTTTTTCATCGAGGGATACGCAATCGAAATTCAGAAACACGGAATTCAAACAACTACAACTTGCTTACAACTGTCAGATTTTGTATAATTTTCTAAAAAAAAAACTTTGATTTTACGATTTTTTTTCTTGGAATCTACTAAAAATTTAATAGAATTTGCAAATGATGAAATTTTTTACTTTAATAATAAAATAAAATTCAAATTCAATTAATACATACCCCCATTTCATGCATTCTTAAATGATAATGAGGTCAGAAAGTAAAATAAACTTAATTCAGGAAAATAAAAGTTCTTTTTTTCTTTAAAATAAAAAATTTAAGTAAAAAACTACATAGTATAACTATAGTATTAAAAATAAAATTTAAGACGATATTTAGTTGCAAATAAAATGTATTTTATATATATTCATCATATGAAAGATAATGCTTGTTGGCCAACAAAAAAAAAGTCCAAGATCAACAGCATTAATGAAAGAAAGACCCGGAAATTATGAGATCTCTCAAAGAATATTAATATGAGACGAACACATGGGGTACAGGTCACAACATTTTGGGACAGGGCCCTATAAATAGGATACGAGGCTTGTCATTCTTCATTCCCTTCTCTTAGTTCCTTTCTAATTGGTTCAATACATACACTCTTTTGAGTTCTATACATCAGCTTTGTGTTATACATTAAGATATATACACCTTAACCAAAAGGGAAAAAAAATGGCTTCTCGTTTATCTTTTTCTTGCATGGTTTGCACCATCTCTTTGATAATGATTTTCTCAAGCTTGCCAAGTCAAGCGCTACTTTCTAATGAAATCTTCTATTTGTTAACGTGTCCTATCGCACTTGCTAATATAAGTTTCGCAGTTAATCAAGCAGTCCATGATGATCCAAGAATGGCTGCGTCCCTTATTCGCCTTCATTTTCATGATTGCTTTGTCCAAGTAAATAACTTTGTTTTAATAAATATTTGTCTCTAGAAAAATATAATTATTTTATGGATCGATGTTGTAATGTAATTTCAGGGCTGTGATGCTTCAATCTTGCTGGACGACACGCCCTCGATGATTGGCGAAAAAACTTCATTCTTCAATGTAAATTCTATCAGAGGATATGATGTCATTAACAACATCAAGTCTCAATTGGAGAGGTTATGTCCTGGAGTTGTTTCTTGTGCTGATATTGTAGCAATAGCTGCTCGTGATGCTTCGGTTGCTGTAAGTGCCTTATAAAGCTTATAAATTTGCCAAAAAACTAGTTCTGATCATTTATACATTTATATAAAATGTAGGCTGGTGGACCAACATGGCCTGTGAAACTTGGAAGAAAAGACTCCCTCACTGCAAGTCGAGATTTAGCTAATCAGAACTTACCCCGATTTACAGATTCTCTCCAACAATTGACTGATTTGTTCGCTAAAAACAATCTAAGTGCAAGAGATATGGTTGCCCTTTCAGGTTTATGCTCGAACGACAAGTTTTAAATTTAGTTTCAATTGGGTACTTGTTGATGACATTATACGAGGAAAATGCTTACCTAATGTCATTTATATAGGAGCACATACGATTGGGAAAGCACAATGTTTCACGTTCCGTGACAGGGTTAATAGCAACGCAAGCGACATTGATCCTGAGTTCGCCAGAAGTCTAAGAGAAGATCTTCCATGCCCATCAAATGGTACCGGAGACACAAACCTTGCATCGCTTGATTCAGTGACGCCTGAAGCTCTTGATAACAACTACTACAAGAATCTTGTTGCTAAACAAGGCCTTCTTCAATCAGATCAGATACTTTTTAGCGGCGGATCTACAGATACCATTGTTAACGAATACGTTGCAAACCCATTAACATTCGCGTCGGATTTTGCAGCTGCCATGGTCAAGATGGGAAATATAAACCCTTTAACTGGTACTCAAGGAGAAATACGACGAGTTTGCAATGTCGTTAACTGATATGCTCTTACAATTATTAAATACTATGTTGTAATAAATAAATGGTGAGGGATTTAGCTAACGTATATTAATTCCTCTCCCACTCCTTGTTCCTAAGTTGTTGTAACTTGTAACATGTAAGTTAATTATATCAACTATTTTAACAGTAAACACATTTATTAAGAAATAACTTATTTTTCTGTTCCCATATTCATCAATTTTAATTTTTCAATAAACCCTATTTTCCTGAGTATATATTTTGGATTTGAGTTGACCGAAGATTTTGTTATTGACGTATAAGGAAGTAAAGATTATTATTCTCTAATTAATTTCACGATTAGGCAACTCAAAACCATTCAAAAGATTCGATTTTAGGAAATTAATTCTTAATTTACAAAATCTAATAGGTTTCTTTAATATCTGCGAGAGATATCGATACACCTATTCTTTTTTAATTAATACTATTACTATAATTAGCAGTATAATTATAAGGATGTTCACATTAGTATATTTGTCTTTTCATTCCATCGTGAATTAATAATTTATCCTTAACAATAATATTAGAGAAATACACATATTTAGTAAATCACATAATGCTTAAAATCTGGGTTTTGATATCACTTTACAACTAATAAAATAAGGAAAGAGAAATAGTTTCATATGGGTCCTTTAAATTAATTTTTTCACTTTTTAATTAAACTGTATTATTACCTTTTCTTTTATTGAAAAATATGCTTTTATTAAAAAATAAACCAAGAAAAACTTAACTTAAACGGTTAAATGTAATCTAATATTAATAGATTAATCTTTACGTGTTATTTAAAATTGAGATTCGATCAAATTCATTAAAGGTCATTCTGGATATGAAATCCATGTAAATATTTGGGAAATAGGAGACATTTTGCCCTCCTTTATAGGTCTGCCTAGCGTGAATTCGGATTAATCAGATCAATGAACTTGAATATTGAGTCATTAAAATAAAAAAAATGGTTATCCTCGATACACCCCATTGAAAATCTCTTAACAGTCAAACTGTATTATGACTTTTTGTTTTCTAGAAGTTATCGGGTGATTGTCAAATGTCAACCATAACCAAGCAAGCAATTATGTGTATATTTTTGCTGTTTTAAAGATGGCAAAGAAACATAAGCAAGCAAGTGAATATTTTTGACATGTATAGGAGTCTGAAAAATGTTTATCTAATCAAGATTTATAAATTTGTCAAAGAATAAATTTTTTAAGTTAGAAAAATATTTACAAATATAAGATCATAGGATTTTTTAAACTATTTTTTTAATTTGAAAAAAAAAAGTCAAATATTGATTGGGATTAAAGTTTACTAGTTGACTTAATATATAAATATTTAAAACGGTGACTATCACACGTAACTTTTGCTTAATGTAAAAAAACATTCTATCGAAACATAGAAATACAATGTCAAAGGTTTAATTTGTAAGATTGCTATGAAAAATTTCAGTTTACTTAGTTTTATTGTGTATTGCACTTATAGTCCACTCCACATGATGCTTATTCAATCAATTCAACGGCTCAAAAAACAAATTTCATACGGTCAAATTGACATAATTAACTTTATTTCTAATCTTACCATTATTAAACCAACCCATATGTGTTATTATTTTGTACTAATAAGAATTGAAATATAAATTTCTTTATTATCAATCTCCATCATCCTACACCTATCATAAATGTATGGTAGATTCCTTATAAAATACTATGACGGAAATTACCTGCCTATACCAGGTAATTAAACCACTGCCATTATTATTATTATAATTTATTTATTTATCGGTAATGTAATATCATGAGATAATTTTTATGTATTGCATTGCATTAAGTTGATTTCTCCAATTCAATTAAAAGTAGGGCCGGTTATGTAATATTCATTTCCAAATAGTTTCATATTAAATTACAACTTGATTTTTTTTGTAAGAAAGAAGCAAATATAAAGAAACCAAACTTACTTAAGATTTAATTAAGTTATCTACGCGTTCGTGTGTATCTAATCCAATAGTTTAATCAAGAAACCGCACAAACATTCCCCTTTCCTTGTTAAAATAAATAAAGATGGACATGGGGCAGGACGCTAATTTGTTTAGTGTTCAAAAATAAAAAAAAGCAGTTTACCCTTGCATGGGGATGTAGCTCAAACGGTAGAGCGCTCGCTTTGCATGCGAGAGGTACGGGGTTCGATACCCCGCATCTCCAAATATTTTATTTTTTATTTTTTATTTTCCATTTTTTATCCTTTGTTTTTTTGGGTAAAATGATGCGAGAGGTACGGGGTTCGATACGCGCATCTCCAATTATTTTATTTTTTATTTTTTATTTTCCATTTTTTATCCTTTGTTTTTTTGGGTAAAATGATGCGAGAGGTACGGGGTTCGATACGCGCATCTCCAATTATTTTATTTTTTATTTTTTATTTTCCATTTTTGTTTAGTGTTCAAAAATAAAATTTTTATCCTTTGTTTTTTTGGGTAAAATGATGCGAGAGGTACGGGGTTCGATACGCGCATCTCCAATTATTTTATTTTTTATTTTTTATTTTCCATTTTTTATCCTTTGTTTTTTTGGGTAAAATGATGCGAGAGGTACGGGGTTCGATACGCGCATCTCCAATTATTTTATTTTTTATTTTTTATTTTCCATTTTTTATCCTTTGTTTTTTTGGGTAAAATGATGCGAGAGGTACGGGGTTCGATACGCGCATCTCCAATTATTTTATTTTTTATTTTTTATTTTCCATTTTTTATCCTTTGTTTTTTTGGGTAAAATGTTGCTGTATTTTCTTTTTTCCATTTTATCCTTTGTTTTTTTGGGTAAAATTTTGCTGTTCCATACCCTGCATCTCCAATTATTTTATTTTATATTTTCTTTTTTCCATTTTATCCTCCTTTTTTTTTTGGGTAAAATGTTGTTGGTAGGGGTGGCCAAAATCCGGTATTCGGAACCGAAACTTTTGGTTCCGAACCGATGGGAATCGAGAACTGAAACCGGTCTGAACCGATTTCGATTTCGGTTTCCATCAGTTTTGAAACTGTGAACCGGTGGTTCTCAAAATGAGTCGGAACCGATTGGAGAATCGACTTGAGAACCGGCCGGAATCATTAGTTTTCGAACCGTTAAGAAACTGAAACCGTTCGATTCCAAACTATAACTGAAACTATTAATTTTCGGTTTGGTTTCAATTCTAAAAAATTCGGAACCAGAACTGTATCCACGTCTAGCTGAGGGAGGATATATGTACAGCTTCAGCAAGATTTATTTCTTTTCATTATGCCATTCTTTGTTGTCCTTTAATTATACTCTACATTATTTTCTCACAAAAATATGATTTATCGCACAAATAAGTCTTACTTCATGATCATGATTTGAACAATATGTTTTCAATTGTCAAGCCACTGTATTTGCTACTGCTTAGTATTAGATAGCTCTTGCATTTTCAAAAAAAAAAAAAAAGAAAAATCAATATATTTAATATTTTTATTTTGCTTTTCATCACTTTATGGAATTAATATTTAATTGAAATTTTTATAAGTAATTAGTAATTGATTAAATTTAAAATTTTTATCAAATATATTCGATCCAATTATTTACAAATCAATTATCAGTTACTCCTTCCGTTCCGTTAAATTTAAAATTTTTATTTTTTAAAAGAATTAAAATAATTAGCTCGTCAATTATATAAAAAAAATCGACGTAATTGACTAAATTATATTTTAATCAATACTCATTTAACTAAGATAAAGTTTAGTGCAAATATCTAAATAAGTTGAATTAAAATAATTATTGCTAAATTGATTTCTAAGAGCCTCATCTAAATAAAAAAAATCAAAAACTGTTATATAATAAAATTATAGGGAGGAAATACATGAAATGGCTGAATTAAATGTTTTAAAATTTTCAGATCATTTTAAGGCTTCTAAATCGAATTATATCTGCTAAGTAAGTTCTAACATTAGAAATTTTGACTAGTTTCATATAAATTTCACAAATTAATAAAAGGATTCTAGACAAAAAAATCGAGTCAACTAAATTTGAATGAAACGGGAATAATACTCTTTTGACAATTATGAATTAGAGCATGCAGAAAGAATCAAAACGCAAAACGCCATTAAATTACACCAAGATACGATCAAAAGTCTATAAAGGCTGCCACTTTTACGACTTTGATTTTTCCTTACATGGTGTAGCCATTTATTAATCATTGATATTTTAACTAAACAACAAATAAGATAAGAGAACATAAGTCCCTGCATCTTCCCATGCACTCACGTAGTGGGGCCAACTGTGGGACACTGGGACCCATCTGAAAATATACAGTATTAGTAGTACATATAATAGAGAAAGCTTACCTACGCACATGATATATGACATACTCAACGGTGGAAGTACTCACAAGCCGTATTTTAATTTAAATGAAAATATTTTTGACTATATACTAAAAAAAAAATATTAATATTTTATAAAAAAGCGTTGTGTATGTGACCACTCATGCATCAGGAGAGTTTGAAAATTTTCTATAATAACCTTTTCTTGCTCCAAATTCCATAAATTTGATATCTCTAATATATTAATTAGAAAAATTCTAAATCTTAATCACCAAGTTTTTCTACTAGTAAGCAAACCGAAGGACCATAACTGCAGTCCAAGCAGGAAGTAGTTTATTTTAATAAATTAAATTAAATCTTTGATTTATTCATAGTAAGCACAAGGACCACAACTATATAGAAATCAGAACGGGTAAAACCAAGCAATACCTTAAAAAGATTTTTTTTTTAATAAAATAAAATAAAATCCAGAAGAAAATTCATTTATCTGACTTGGCAAACTCTATTCATTAAATGCTATAGGACTTTCAGGCGGCCCCTTAAAGAAAAGGTCACACAAATCTTGGACAAGCCACTATAAATAGGATGCAAGGCTGCTTCTTCTTCTTCACTCAAAAACTACAACTCTCTTCTCTCTCATCAGTTTTCTTTATCAGATTTCTGATATTTTAACTAATATTGAAGATAAAGTAAAAATAATCATGGGCTTTCATTTATCTTCTTCTTGCATGGTTTTAACAATAATGTTAATGATTTTCTCAAGCTTGCCATGTCAAGCACAACTTTCTTCCAACTTCTATGACAGTACATGTCCTAATGCACTAAGTACTATTAGGACAGTCGTTGATTCAGCAGTTGATAGTGACCCAAGAATGGCTGCTTCGCTCATTCGCCTTCACTTCCATGATTGCTTTGTTCAGGTAATTATACTTTCATTGACATGTTGACCATGCATACATGTTTGGCGATTGAAGTAATGAGCGTTTCTATTGTAGGGTTGCGATGGTTCAGTCTTGCTGGAAGATACAGCCACATTTACCGGCGAGAGAACTGCTCGGAACAACGCTGCTTCTCTTAGAGGATTCAGTGTCATTGATGATGCAAAGTCTCAAATAGAGAGTATATGTCCAGGAGTTTTTTCATGTGCTGATATTGTTGCAGTTGCGGCTCGTGATGCTTCTGTCGCTGTAAGTACTATTATAATCTTCCTATTCAATCACCAGAAATTGAGAAACGTTATATCTTACCATCTTTTATACATGAAACAGGCTAGTGGACCATCATGGACAGTAAATCTTGGAAGAAGAGATTCTACCACTGCAAGTCTAAGTGAGGCTAATAGCGACCTTCCTGGATTTACAGACAGTCTTACAAGGCTTATTTCTTTGTTCGGTGAGAAGGGATTGAGTGAAAGAGACATGGTTGCCCTTTCAGGTTTGCATAGCTCAAAAATCTTCTTCTTCTTCTTCTTCTTCTTCTTCTTCTTCTTCTTCTTCTTCTTATTATTATTATTAATTAGATTGCAAAAGACTAAAGAACTCATCTGAATCAATACAGGAGCGCATACTTTAGGGCAAGCAAGATGTTTAACATTCAGAGCCAGGATTTACAGTAACGGAAGTGACATTGATCCTGACTTTGCTACCACCCGACAAGGAAATTGTCCATCTGATACCAACAGCGGAAGTGGAAATCTTGCACCACTTGATTTGGTGACACCAAATACTTTTGATAATAACTATTACTCAAACATTATTGCAAGAAGAGGTCTTCTTCAATCAGATCAAGTACTTTTCAGCGGCGGATCTACAGATAGTATTGTTAATGAGTATAGCTCAGACGGTTCATCTTTCAGTTCTGATTTTGCAGCTGCTATGGTGAGGATGGGAAATATTGACCCCCTTACTGGTACGCAAGGAGAGATTCGAAGGATTTGTACTGCTATCAACTAATTATGAAATGAATCATTCAAGTCTTGTCTTAGTGTTTTCTGCAATAAATATTGGAAGATCAAATATCTTCTCACTCATGTAATTTCAATTCAAGTGTAATCTTCTTGGATTTATTTTTCTTAAATCAAGTGTAATCATTGCTGCTTGTTTTGGTAAAATGGAAAGATTTTAGCATTTTCTTTAATATATTGTTCTTGAGCTTTATAGGAAAATAAGAAAACAAATCTAATTCAAGCTAAGAATTGTAACATCAACCTCCATATCTTCTTTAGCTAAACAGTCTACTCGCGTGCCTGAACTCTAGTAAGCTCAATTATAAGGTAATCAAATCAAAATTTTTATACCTCCCACCACTTCAAAGGGCGTTTAAGCATTAAATTAATCAATTCATCGAATAAAAAAATAGAAATAAAATATTAATAATATTGATTTAAGTAATAGTTGGTTATAATTTTAAAAAATTGACACTCGCTGTTATCATCATTTCAACTCGTTTCAAAAACTTTGCAATGGTGGATGAATTTCAATAAGTTGGATTCTATCGTTTCTTCTTTATCACAGGTGTTTTTTATTTATACAATCAAATCTAAAAACTCATTTGTTGATACCTTAGCAAAGAAAGAAATTAATCAATTGAATCATTTTTCACCTTTTTTTATTTGAAAAAACATTCATATATTTATTTCCGCTAATGATAGATTAGTTTTAGATTTATTATTAAATGTATATGTCAAATGTAAATAATGCAAGACAGTGCCAAATTAGAAATCTACAAATTTCCGACGACCGACAAAAAAAAAAAAAAAGTATTTCGTTGATCTGATAATGTTTGAAAATGGAACAATTGCACATCTACTTCAACTATACTCAATAAATTAAGGAATCTTCAGTGAATCATAACTGTATACCATACGTATTTCGTATGCTAGACAAATATAAATAACATATATAGTTGAATACAAGATTGACATTGTTATCTCCAAAGACTTTGAGTTATAAATACAAAATATATATAGTTTTTGTTCTTGTAGATACTTGGACTAGAAATAGAATAGAGAGCGAATACAAACATTCAACATATATATACTTTCTATATCATATAAATTATAATTAAAGACCAAAGATACGTAGTTAAGTGTACTAAAATTATCAGAATAAAAAAAAATTATGCCTTTCTATCTATAATTTGAATAAATAGTAAATGATTTCTTTAACATCAGGAAAAGAGATTCAAACGTGAATTTATTATCAGGTGGTATGTGTACTGACTATTAACTTAAGTCTTGGTGTGCTAACAGTGATGTTAATATTCAAATTTTTGATAATTCTAAAGTTGACTCTTTTTTTTTTTTTTTTTTGGAATCGTTTCAGGTGAATCAGTAACTGTATACCAGTACGTATTTAACGGTTGATGGCTAGACAAATATAAAGAGTAACAGTTATAGTGAGTTGGAATACAAGGATTGACATTTTTTATGTCCAAGAGCTTTGAGTTAGTAGAATACAAACGAGAGTTGTATAGTATCAGGTTTTGTGTCTGTGTAGATACTGGGACTAGAAATAGAATAGAGAGCGAATACAAACATTCAACATATGAGTGATACTTTCTATGATGCAGTAATAAATGTATGGAATGTAGAAGACCAAAGTACGTAGGGTGTAGTGTACGTAAAATAGTCAGAATAAAAAAAAGATTATTGCCTTTCTATCTGATAAATTTGAGATAAAGTAGTAATGGGATTTCTAAAGCATCCAGGAAAGAAGAGATTCCAGAAGCGTGAAGTTGATTATCAGTGGTAGTGTGTAGGCTGACTATTAACTTTTAAGCTTGGGTGGCTAACAGTGGGATGGTTAATATTCCAAATTTTGATAATTCTAAAAGGGTTGGAGCTCTTTTTTTTTTTTGTTTTTGTTGCAAAAATATCAATCGTACGGTAAAAGGGAGAGTGAAAGAAAAAAATGTTATTAGTCCAGAAGTAAATTATGTTCTTTTTTTTTTTTTTTTTGTCAAAAAGATATCAATCTACAGTAAAAGGGAGAGTGAAAAAAATGTTATTATCAAAGTAAATTATGTTCAAATCTTGCTCATAAACAGACAGGAAAAATTATGTAACATGTCAAACTAGAAATTCAACTAGTGACATGTGTTAATGAAATGTTTCTTAAGAAAAAACAAAGATATATGCCCAACTAGGGATTAATTAGTTCCAAAGCCTACAATTTTGACCCTTTTAGAGATTGACGTTTGCCTAACAGACGACAACTTGGCATTTCGTTCTAGTAGTAGACAAGAATATTATTATTACAGATAAAACTTAATTTGCTTCCTCAGCATCAAAGTCCAACAACACTACTTGAGATTTTACTTGTACACTACACAAATGAAATAAGAGGGTCTACTCTAATCTTATCCTGACCTTGATTAATAATATTCTCAATTCCGTTATTTTTGAAACATTTCAGTACACTACATTTATACTTTTCACAATTATAACAGCAATCATGCATGCATGCATGTGATAATTGCATTTTTTTTTTTTTTTACGAATTCTATCATTTCCTTATTCCACAACAAAAGTCAATTTATTTGCCTATCAAATACTGGAGTGTAGAATTTTAAATTCGAGTTTTTCCCATCACAAACGTATTTAAAGAAAAGGTTGCCCTTTTGTGGTCCTTTGAAGTATTAAAAAATTTTAATTTATTTCTTTTTTTTTTTCAACCTCTACGATAATACAAGGATGATTTCATTTTATCGTTTTCGTAACCTAAATTAAATTTTAGATATGATAATTGCATTAGTGCTAAATTAAGGAATGATGAGATGACAGGTGAAACTAATTAATGCATAAAAGTGTTGATTAACTTCCTCCTTTCCGACCAACTACTAATTGATCTAATGGGATAAAGCGTTGGATCCCTTAAGTAACGTCCAAAGTTTGAACCTTAGTGTTGTGAATGGAAAAAACTGAGTTGGGAGGATCGCCCTCATAATGGGTCTCTGCAAAATCCAAATCCAGATTAGTTGACTGTACCGGACATCGGGTGGTTTAACAAAAAAAAAAATCCTCATTTCCTCACTATTTTGGAGGAAATATTTTTGTATTGTTTGGTCATTGTGTTACTTGTATACTTGTTTCTCTTACCGTAAACAGCTTTAAATTGTATATTCTTCATTCAATCAAAAACCCAAATACTACAGAAATTATTAAAATTTTCCACTTCGAAATGGATTATCTTCAATCAAACCATATTATATACATTTTATTTTATTATATATGTAGCACGCATAAATTATATTTCAAGGTCTACGCTAGCTAGTAGTATACTAGTATGTAATAAATACCTTTCCAGAACAAAATACATACGTCTACAGTTTGAATTTAATTGTTTTGTATTGCTATTATTATGTGGTTGGAAATTAAACAGGTAGGCTTTGATTCTCAAACAGCATTTAATGTCATTGGCTAGTAGCATAATGGTCGAATGCCTATCTTTTGGATAATCTTCTTTTTTAGGTTGAGCAAAATTCGTAAAATTTCTTATAACTTAAAAAAATTTTAAGACCTACCATTTTTAATAAGAAAATAAAAAATGAAAATTAACAAAAATTAACTAATAAGGCGAGCGGATTTTAATTAGGTTTGTGGACCGTTAATATGAACACGGTTTGAATATATTATGCAAATATATAAAAAAGAAAGAAACTTTATATACAAGAGCGAAAAAAAGAAAGAATGTTATGCAAATATATAAAAAAGAAAGAAACTTTATATACAAGAGCGAAAAAAAGAAAGAATGTTATGCAAATATATAAAAAAGAAAGAAACTTTATATACAAGAGCGAAAAAAAGAAAGAATGTTATGCAAATATATAAAAAAGAAAGAAACTTTATATACAAGAGCGAAAAAAAGAAAGAATGTTATGCAAATATATAAAAAAGAAAGAAACTTTATATACAAGAGCGAAAAAGCTTAATGCTTGACAGCCGTCTTCGGAGAAAATTATTAAGATTGACGTTTTATTATATGATTCCAATATTAAAATGTAATTAACAAAGTAAAATACAAATTCACTTACTAAGCTAACCTTTATAATTAAAATTTATTAGTATAATGCCCAGCTAATTTTCTTTGAAAATCTACAATCTGCATGTAAAAAGAATCGAACAGAAAGAAGTTAGGTATATTTGAAACATTCTAAAAGCTCAAAGAAACTTTTTTTTTTTTTTTTTTTTTAATTTTTTAAAGTAAAAGGGTCTGAAAGTCAGCTTTTCTGACTTTGATTTTTTTGGTCAAAGCAATGATCTATATTTGGTGTTGTAAGACAGAACGATTAGTCAATATAACTCAAAGTTTATCACTGAATGAGAAATCAATCAACATACTTAATTTTATTCCAAAGAGTCCATAGAAAAATGAGCATATAGAAAGTGTTCCTTTATAGTTAGATGGACCATGAAGACGCGCGGAAAACGTAATGAAATGCAAGAGAAATGGACAAATGGACAAGGCCGGTGCCTAATTTATAGGTTTCATAAAATATTTTTTTCTATTAATTATAAGCTTTAGAAATTTTCTTTGATTTGTAAAATTTCACACCGTTGAATAATTTTCATCGAATACAATTTTTTTTTTTTTTTTTTTTTTAAAGTAAAAGGGTCTGAAAGTCACTTTCTGACTTTGATTTTTGTCAAAGCATATCTAATTATTGGTTTACAATATATCAAAGTTCTGAATGGAATCAATCAAATCTTATTATTCAACCATAAAAAAGAGCATATAGGAAGTGTTCCTTTTTAGAAGAAACGCGGAAACGGTAATGAATTGCAGAGAAATGGACATGGAACAAGGCGTGCCTAATTTATAGGTTTCATAAAATATTTTTTTTCTATTAATTATAGCTTTAGAATTTCATTTGATTTGTAATTTATGTGAATAATTTCATCGATTACAATCCGAAAAATACCTTGATTAATTATTTAGTTCTATAAATATTTTTTGAAAGCCACAAATTAAGTATTTCCAACAATTTCAGTTGAAAAAAAATCACACCATAAAAAATTATAATAACTATCTCTTCCAAAATCATTTATGCAATTTTGGATACACGCTTAAAGATATTCTGATTGTAAAATCAAGCAAATATTTTCCGTTTTTTATTTAGTTAAGTATTTATAAGGAATTTAATTTTATTTACTTTTGCTAACTCATCGATGTTCATTAACTTATCTTATATGGATCTTCGTTCTTCTCCATTTTCATTTCAGGGTTATTTATTCATCGATTTATTTACTTTTTGAACCTCTAAATTTTTATCTCTTTGAATAATAATAATAAAATTGCAAATCAAATACTATTATTTATTATTAAAGCAAAAAAAGAAAAAGTTAGGCTCCGTGCACTGTGTTTGACCAAAAATATATAAATATTAAAGGCTGCGACTGTTGAGGTGTTCTTTAGAGAACAGTTCTATAAAATTCTTCCAACTATAAATAGAATATGAATCCCACGCTTCTTCTTCACTGCTAATATCCATATCCAATAGTTTCACTCTCTTTTGATCTCTTACATATATAGCATTTTCTTAAGTAAGAAGGAGAAAAATTAAATAAAACTAAAATGGGTTATAGTTCATCTGTTTCTTGCATGGTTTTCACAGTATTACTGATAAGCTTGGCATGTGAAGCACAGCTTTCTTCAAACTTCTATGACAATACATGTCCTAGTGCCCTAAGTACTATAAAGGAAGCTGTAGCTAAAGCCGTCTCCAGTGAGCGAAGAATGGCTGCTTCTCTCGTTCGCCTTCACTTCCACGATTGCTTTGTTCAAGTAAGATTAGTTACTTACAAATATTTATAAATTTTGAAGCTGAGAGTTCTAATGTAACTATAATTTTATTCTGTTGCAGGGTTGTGATGGTTCGGTTCTGTTAGATGATACTTCATCAATGACTGGCGAGAAAACTGCTCGCAACAATGCCAACTCTATTAGAGGTTTTAATGTTATTGATAATATCAAATCTCAAGTAGAGAGTAGATGTCCTGGAATTGTTTCTTGTGCAGACATTGTTGCTGTAGCAGCTCGAGACGCATCTGTTGCTGTGAGTTATCTCTAATCTCTATGTATATCGTTTATATTTGGATTAACTGTTTTAATAGTTGATAGCTGAACTAAGCACCGACACCTTCTAATATTACCTTTTTACAGGCTGGTGGACCATCATGGACAGTGAACCTTGGCAGAAGGGATTCTACCACAGCAAGCAAAACTCTAGCTGATAACAACCTTCCTGCATTTACAGACACTCTTGATAAACTGACTTCCTTGTTTAGTAGCAAAGGTTTGAGTCAGAGAGATATGGTTGCTCTTTCAGGTTTGTGCCTCAGGAAAATGATTCAATTGAAAATCTCTATATGTTTATTTAAGATGGCTAATTATACATTTTTTACTGGATTACAGGAGCACATACAATAGGGCAAGCAAGATGTTTGACCTTTCGCAGTAGAATTTATAGCAATGGAAGTGATATTGATGCTGGCTTTGCAAACACTCGCAAGCGCAATTGCCCTTCTGATAGTGGCAATGGAGATGGAAATCTTGCACCACTTGATTTAGTGACACCAAATAATTTTGATAACAATTACTACAGAAATCTTATTTCTAAAAAGGGTCTTCTTCAGTCTGATCAAGTACTCTTCAGTGGCGGAGCCACAGACAGCATCGTTAATCAATATAGTAAAGATGGTTCAATTTTCAGATCTGATTTTGCATCAGCTATGGTAAAAATGGGAAATATAAGTCCCTTAACTGGTTCTCAAGGAGAGATACGCAGGGTTTGCAATGTCGTTAACTAGTTGATGCACAAAGAATACTCAAGTGTCAAATGTTATTACCGTCATAACCATGTTTTTTAGTACTATATATAGAATTATGTGCTGGAATAAATTGTGGGAGAAGAGCTTAAGCTAGAATCATTCCACTTGAGGCATCCTAATGCCTCATTATTGTATTTTAAATTGAAGTGTGATTGATTAAGTCTTTTTATTATTATTATTATTATTATTATTTTTTAGAGTGTAATTAAGTCTTCCTTTAAACCTATATGATTAGAAATTAAAAATTCTTTAACAATTATTCCTACTTTATGTTTATTATATTATTAGAAATATTCCCGTTTCATTTAAAATTTATAATTTCATTGTTTTAGTCCATAGGTAGAATCATAGACTCAGTCTAAGTAAATTTTTAATGGACATTGAAAAGCATGCATTATTTTTGCGTTGTTCCTATATTGAAAAGCTCCTATTCTACAAGTGAATCCGTCTCATGTATGCTTTTTTGATAATGGATTGGGTACCTAAGATTCCATATTGTCTTTAGCCCCATGAGAGTCCGGCCCATTTGCACCTTACTAATAGACAAGAACGGACTCAACTCTTTAATCGCGCAACCCAACTACTCGGGGTTAAGAATGTGAAGGAACATCAAAATAGTCAAAAGCTACTGCATTTCAATTATAAAACTGGGGAATTCTTCTGGGCAGTAGCTCTGACAGTGGGATAGTCCCTCAGAATCAAAGAGAATTAGCTCAGGGCAATCAACAAGCAAGCCCTCCTATAGGCTTCTAAACTTTCAACAAGCAAGCCCTCATAATCTAAGCCCTCCTATAATATGTTGCAGGCTTTAAAAATTGAGTAAGGTGACTCCTCAAAAACTATCCATCTCAAGAACACTTCACAAAAGCAAGTACAAGCTTCGTCTCAAGAACCCTTTACAAAAGCAATTAAAAAGCAGCATTATAAATATTTTATCGCTTACTGTTTCTATAGTTTTCACTTGAGTCAGAAGTTACCACAAAATGGATTCCACCCTAAAGAACCCTTCTGAACATCCAAAAAGAACTGATGTTTACATCAAACTACTCCAATTACTGCAATACTAAAACAGAAAATAACTGCTGTCTTATGATGCTTTGGCTGTTTCGCGAACTAGGGCAAGCTTAGCCAAAAGGCCACACAGCTGAAGATAGGAACCTACACCATCACAGATTCTCATATGGGCAAACCCAGTTTCCTGCAAACTCATGAAAATTGAGAAAGAAAAATGTCATGAGAACAACTTAGATTGCCGGAATAAGAAAATATTAAAGCCTGGATTGCTGCATTTACCTTCATGAACTCCAATTTCAAATATTCAGCCATGTCATAATTCTTTATGATACGAAAAAGGGTTGTAATTATATCAGTGGGAGAATAGCCCAAATCATACAGCTGTTTTAGACCAGAACAAGCATCATCAAATTTTCCCTCAATCACCTGGCGAACCATATTCTTCACATGCAATGGGTGAGGCTGATCACAGACCTGAAAAGACACCAAAATGCTTAAGAGTTACCACAGCACATAATGATTATTAATACCAACGCTAATAACTGATATTTCAACTACTAACCTTGAAAACATTTTCCTGGTTGACAAACCGGAATCCACTGTGAGTAGCTTGCAAGTTATTCAAAGCTTGCCTCATATCTCCATCAGCAGTGAATATAATAGCTTCAAGGCCTTCAGGAACATATGGAACCTTCACTTATTACAAACACAAGTCAATATTCTTGCACCAGCTTTATGAACACAACTTACAAAATATGTCAGGTCTACAATAGCACTACGATCTTGAGAATATAAACATCTATTAACCACGTTAACCAGTGCCTTCCATGTGTTAATGACAATAGGTCTGGGTTGCTAATAAGCTTTTACCTGAAGCCTCGGCTTCATCCAACCTTTATCATCACCTACTTTATGCATTTTAGACATCAATTCATGGTTTCAACAATAAATAATTGAACATGATCAGACAGGTATCACTTCCCCAGCTCACCAACATATTTTCAGTTGAGTATCCTACAGCTTATCAGAATGGGTGATTTGACCATTGGAGTCAGTTTTGGATCTTTCAATATTCGTGCAACAGGTTTCACAACTTAAAGTTAGGGTTTCATCATTATCCTCAGTCAAGTAACAGCTAATTGTCATGCCCCCTTATCAAAAATGACATTTCACTAGATTAATATGATAGTTGATGAAAGCTCAGAGCCCTCTTCTGCGAATTCATGATGACACTATACCAAGAGAAGGGAAAGATCTTCTAAAACAGCATCACAAAATAATCAGGAATGATAATTTAAATTAAATGAGATTTTCTGCTGAAAAAGACAGCTTCTGACAAAATAGAGCATACGAATAGATCCAATCAGAAAACAAAAATTGACAACTAAATCAGATGGTCATGCCCAATCATAAGAGATTTAATCTGGCAACAAAAAAAATATAAATCAAGAAATGGCATAAAAACTAAGCTTTTGGGCAGTGTAAATGCAAGTAGCATAATGCAGAACCATAAATTGCCTACCTTTTCTGCTTCAACTACTACCATGAGACGACCAAGTATCTCTTGATCGGATAATCTTGAAAACCGAACCAGCGCACATCTACTCTGAATAGGCTCAATGATTTTAGAAGAAGTGTTGCATGCAAGGGCAAAACGAGTGGAATTTGAATATATTTCCATAGTGCGCCTCAGGGCTTGTTGCGCTCCAGATGTCATGCTGATATTTGTTCATTGTAAAAACAAGCCCACATTCACAATCATGACCACCGTCAAAAAACAAAAAGGAAAAAAATAATCAAACACCAACACAATAAAAAAATAGTCACTTGAAATCTATCGACAACAGAATTACATAAGTTGTAAACAAAAACTTTGTGCTCCTAACAAATATCTGGAAAGGGAGAGTGAAATTTTAAAGCTTTCACAAAAAGACGATAGAATAACACAAGATTATCATAATAAGGGAAGCAAGATGAAAACAGAATTAGGCATAAAGCAAATAAAACACTGTCATCCACATATACCTATCAGCTTCATCGAGAATTACAAGTTTGTGTCGTCCAGGAGGGAGTGTCACTTTCTTTTGTGCAAACATCTTGATTTTGTTCCTCACAACATCTATACCCCTGGCAAAGATACAGAATTAATACCAAGACTCGATAGCCAGTGATAAAAAAATATAAAAAGATTAAATGCTATAAAATTTGTAAACCCACTTACCTGTCATCTGAAGCATTCAGCTCCAGAACAGCCTCCCTATAATTTGGTCCCAAAAGCTCATGTGCAAGAGCCAGTATACTTGTAGTTTTACCAGTTCCAGGAGGACCCTGAACATAGGAAGAAAAAGTGCTCAGTAAAAGTTTAGATTCATGCAATAGTGAGCACATAAATCAGAAACATTTATTTGAAGTTTTCGCATGAATTTAACAATCAACTATACACATTTTCCTTTTAATTGGGAAAAAAAGGGAAGAAAAGTCACAGGATATCTGAAATTCAAAATTATAGAGAGTAAGGTTTGATAATTTCTTTTATAAGCACAATTGGCTAATATCCAATAAAAAAATTTTCAAAAAACAAACAATTACATATATACGAACTTGTAATCTGAAATTTAATCTAAAAACTCTAGTGAAGCAGGGTTTAGAGGATTTTCAGAGAACTATGGAGAAGCAGACTTACTGATAGGATGAGGTTAGGCATGTTGCCGTCGCGAGCGATGACTTGAAGGCGGGAGACAGTATCCTCGTTGCCAACGATGTCGGCGATTTTGTTGGGTCTGTACTTCTCCACCCATGGAATGTCGTAGCCGCTAGTGCTGCTACCGGCGGAGGAAGACGACGATGCCATTGTGTGACTGTTGAGGATAATGAGAGTTCAGGGAAGTGGAGAGAAGGGAAAAGAAAAAGGATTTCTCTGACCAAAACCCCGCCGTGGAACTGCTAAGACTATCCCTAAACGCCTTCAATTTGGAGGGAAATTGGCTCTTGGTTAATATTCGATCGGTTCGCTATATGCTTCAACCAAACCGAGTTTATATGAACCGAATTTTCTTTGAAACTGAACCAAATCGAAAGAAGTTTTTAAACTGAATAGACGGTTCGATTCATTCAAATGGTTTGATTTCATTTATGAAATAAGTGTTTATAATAACCGATCCAAATACCAAAATCGAAATTGTGAAAGATTAGAAATTGAAGCTGAAACCAAAACCTAAATTACTGAACCAAAAATCAAAAATAATTTAGTTACAGTTTCTAATAAAGTGATACTGTATTACGAGTCTTAATTGATATATGACAAAATTCCATCAATATGGTTACAGTTTCTAATTCAAATAGGAAAAAAATTTCACAATAGGAGATAATATAATATAATATATTGCAATAATGTAAATATTTTATACTTCCTCCCTCCCATAATTTGATTTTTTTTTTTCATCTGTCTCAAATTATTGCCATGTTTTCCTTTTTTTAAGTGAATATTATTAAAAATTTACTAATTTAATTTTTTTTAATTAACTTATTTGTCAATAAATATAATAGTCAAATTATTATATTGTCAATAAATATTCTATCTTTTTTTTGCAAATAAAAAATAATATAATCTTTTATGTGTAGCATGTACTTATTAATTTGGATTTTATGTAGGGTAGCTTTCCGTTTTTCATTATTTTTCTTTTTCCGATTAGGGATTTTCTTGTTCTGAAAAGTCTAATCATAGTTGTTGGTGTGTAAAATGTTAATCCATTAGGCAAATAATTAGTTTGATTTTTTTTTTCTAACAAAAATTTGATAAAAGTGAAAAATAAGTATCCTATCAAAATAAATATTTATGATTAATAATTATTTTTATTTTATTTTTTAGTCAATCAAAATATAGAAAGATTGTCATTATAAAAAATAATTATGTGGCTCTCTTCTATGTAGAATGCTCTATTTAGTGACCTAATTCTAAATAATCCATAAGTAGAGCCAAAGAGTTTGAACTATCTCGGAACACTGAACTGAATGACTCAACTTTCCTTTAAGGAAACAATACAATGAATCGCGACGAATCCTCGGACGATCTATTTTTTTTTATCTATCCGAATTTAATAATATAATCAATCAAAACTAATTTAAAAACTCAAGTTAAAAAGTTTAATTTTAAAATTCAAAATCTTATTTTTATTTTTTCTAATTATAAATAATAATAATAATAAAAAGAGTAATAACAAAAGATTATAAAGTTTTTAATTCCACAATGCGTCTTAAAAATTTTTACACCGAAGCCATGAGTATAGAAAAAAGAGAGAGTAATAACCTGCCCGGTGCACGTGAAAACTGTAATTGCAAATGTAATTAGCGTAAAAAAAAACCTGAAAAATAACAAAATCACTAATCAGTCCTTACATTTTGGTTTCGATGACCCTATACGGGCCACCATCAATCATCGTGAATTTATCTATCTCCACGCTTTCCCTTCATATTTTTCTCGCCAAAAAAAAAAAAAAAAAAAAAAAAAAAATTCCCCAAAAAAAAAAAGAAAGAAATTCCCCAAAAGAGGAAAAAACTGAACTACGGATTTCTTCAGTCCTAATCTCACGAGCCATTCTTGCAAGCCGCATCGCCAAAATTTTCCTTCTATCTGCAAATCTATGAAAACCATCCTTATCTATTTTCCATGGCCCTAAGCTCTTAATTAATTGTTTAAATTCCAAAATTGTCAAACGGGGACCTCTACGGATTTACTATACAGGGTCCAAACCCCGACCCGATCCTCCGACGACATCGTCGGACACGACGCCGTTGCTTTCATCTGGCAAAAAAAAAAAAAAAAAAAGAAAAGAAATTCCCCAAAGAGAAAACTGAACTACGATTTCTCAGTCCTAATCTCACGAGCATTCTTAGCAAGCATCGCAAATTTTCCTTCGATCTGCAAATCTAGAAAACCATCTTATCTATTTCCATGGCCCTAAGCTCTAATTAATTGTTAAATTCCGAAAATGTCAAACGGGACCTCTACGATTACTATCAGGGTCCAAACCCCGACCCGATCCTCCGACGACATCGTCGACACGACGCCGTTGCTTTCATCTGGCTCAAATGTCGAATCCAATAGCAATAACGGTCGCCGACCCGTTCGCCGTCCAACCCTCCGCGACGCTGCGAGGTTCGTCCGTCGCGCCAGCAGCCGTCGCATGATGCGGGAGCCATCCATGTTGGTTCGTGAAACTGCCGCGGAGCAGCTCGAGGAACGACAGAGTGACTGGGCTTATTCGAAGCCCGTGGTGATCCTTGACATCATATGGAACTTCGCCTTCGTGGCGGTGGCTGTCGCAGTCCTGATATTGAGCAGGGAGGAGCATCCAAGTATGCCGTTGAGGCTGTGGATTATTGGGTATGGATTCCAGTGCGTGTTGCATATGGTTTGCGTGTTTGTGGAGTATAGGAGGCGGAGGAGGAGGCAAGTGGGATTCGGTGGGATGGAGCGAGGGCTTGGAAGTGATGGAAACTCGAGTTCCGGGTCGAGAGGGGATTCTGGGGAATATATTACGTTGGCTCAGCTGGAGGATGATGGAACCAGGTATGGTTGCTAGTGAAAAATGTTATTTAATTAGAGATTGATATTGAATTGAGTTGTTTTTTGGGTTAAACAACTGAATTCAAAATCTATAATTTGAGAATATAATTTAAGAATTGAGTTTGTTTGTTGCATAAGCTAGGTTATGAATTATAGCAGTTTGTTTTGGATGATACAAAATTCTGGTAGCTAACTGGTAAAAACTCGTTGAGAGTGTCCTGATTAAAAATGCATAAATTTTTAATAGTTGAAAAAAAATTGTGACTTAAACTAAGAATTGCGGATTTGTCTAACCAAATTTGATAATTTTTATTTTCCTTTTCTTTGTGATCCTTTTATTCAACGTTTTTTTTTTTAATTCAGTTTCTCATTTCTATCTTTATCTGCACAGCAGTGTTGCAAAGCATTTGGAATCTGCAAACACAATGTTCTCATTTATCTGGTGGATCATTGGGTTTTACTGGGTGTCGGCTGGCGGCCAGGCTTTGGCACGCGGTTCCCCTCAACTATACTGGTTTGTTCTAAACCCTTTCTGCTATGGCTTGATGTTGAAGTGTTTTCTGGCAGTAGAATCTTACCGGTTGCAATGCACTTTCTTATCTGCAGGCTTTGTATAATTTTTCTTGGTTTTGATGTGTTCTTTGTCGTTTTCTGTGTTGCTCTGGCATGTGTCATCGGCATTGCTGTTTGCTGCTGTCTTCCATGTATTATTGCAATCTTGTATGCGGTTGCAGACCAGGTAGCTCGCTCTTAGCTTGCACTTTACTATGTGCATATTCTTTATCTCTGGTATCATCATCGCCTTAAGGACATTTTCTTTCTGAGAATTTTTTTTCTGTACCTTTTGTGTTTTGCTGCGCGCATGAGATGCTTTCTGAAAAACTAAAACCAGTGATTAGGGGGCCGATTGGAGTTTTTATCTTTCAAAACTAAATAGAACATTTGAACTTAAGGGTTTACAGTGATTAGGGGTTTACATGTGAATAATATATGCACTGGCTCCTTAAAACTGTCAAGTGCCATTCCTTCAAGCTTTTAATATTTTGCATATATTTGAGAATGGATAGAGAGGAGTCTTTATGGGACAGAAGTACAATCTGGATAACTGAAATATGTGAATCAGATATTAGAAATAATATACAACTAAAGCTTTTGACAGGGTTAATTATGATGATAACTCTTGGTGCTTGACGTGAGGATTGATGCTTATATAATTTTCTCGTGATGCTTTAGGGCGAAAAATTACTGCTAAATTTAGCTATTTACTCAATTAACCTCTTCTTCCCTCCCCTCAGCCACTCAAACTAACTTATATATTATTTTTCCTGGAGTTCATTTAGTCGAAAAATTCATAATTGATACTCTCGTACAAAATCATCAAGGAGACTATTTGAGTTTCTTAGTCATTTGGATGACTTCCTCAGCCATCCTACCCTTTTTTCTCAACATTTTAGGCCACACGTTCATTTAATGTCTTCAAGTGCATATGCTCTCCTATTTAAATTATCGAAGTTCCAACTCTCCCTGCCAAGGAGGGAGGGGAGGTTATGGTAGTTCCTTTTGGTTTAGATCAAACTTTTTTGGTTCATGAATTTTGTGGTCACGCATGGCTGTATCACCTTTTTGGCCTTTTCTCCTTCAATTTTTTAGTTCCCATGGTTGTGTGTTATGCAGCTTTTAGTGCATTATAGTTATTTTTATCACAATTTATTCCGTATTGTTTTCCTTTAATCTTTTACCTAACAGGAAGGAGCATCTAAAGAAGACATTGATCAGCTCTCTAAATTCAAATTCCGGAGAATTGGTGATAGTGAGAAACTTGCTGATGATGCACAAGGGGGTGGAATAATGACTGAATGTAGTACAGATTCACCTGTAGAGCATGTCCTTTCAGAGGAGGATGCGGTACCTCTTTCAATTCCTAGTCTTTTATTTTTGAATAGTTTGATGGGTTTTTTCTTCCTTTTAAAAATCACTTGATAGTAACCTGAATACATGAAGCATATTAGCCTTTCTTTTGTTTATGCTATCATAGACAAATCTCATTCATTGTTATGTTGGTGGACAAGAACTTTTGTCCGGATTTAAAATTTACACGGTGACTATGAAGGTTTTGCCAACTTGTAGGAATGTTGCATCTGCCTTTCTGCCTATGATGATGGAGTTGAGCTAAGGGAACTTCCTTGTGGTCACCACTTCCATTGTGCCTGTGTAGATAAGTGGCTGTATATTAATGCTACCTGCCCACTTTGCAAGTACAATATCTTGAAGAGTAGCAGCCGAGACAGGGAGGAAGTGTAAAAGGATTGAGAATAAAGTTGCAAGTCCACAGACTTTGCATATGGTTCCAGCTCTCAAGAGTTTTTCAATGCACAGCAATCAGCATGCCATTAGACAGTGTTTTCTATTCTTCTTGTTATGATAATAGTAATTATGCTTGTTGTAGTGGTGGTGGCGGCACTGTTGTCTTCTTGCTCTTTGGCGTGTGTATATTAGGGTTGCTCAGAGCATCTGATGCTAACTTCATTGGAGACACTTGTCTTTTGTCTTCTCTTTCCTTCCCTGTTTCGTTAGTTAGGGAACATTTTACAGATTTATGTATACTGCTCTCCAAGTTTCTTCCCGTGTTCTTAGCATTGGAGGTTTTTTCTTTTAAGGATTCTTGTTGAATCTGTAAAAGGTGTTGACAAAGGAATAAGTTAAGGTTTCTTGTCTAAAGTTATTTGATTGTCCTTTTATGCCATTCTTCTTCTGCAGAAATCGTTAACTAGAAGATGCAGAGATAATGTACTATACTCTTGAGGGTCATATATAAATTCCGTTTGTATGAAGGGCAATGTAATATGCACTGATTGGCATCGAAATGGAAGTAAAGATTTAAGTTGTCACTACGTGGAACAAATATGTTGGCGCGTATCAAATTTTAATAATACTCTCTTTTCCCAGTTAATTTATGAACACTGAAGACGAAGAGTGAAACAATTTGTAGCTATACTCAAAGGAAAAGTCAAAAATTAAGGGAAGAAAAGGAAAAGTTAGACGTAAATTTGTAGCCTATAGCCAAAGGAAAAGTTAAAATTTAAGGGAATATTCTATTTTCTTGAAAAACATTTTTTTTTGAATGAAAAAAAAAGGAAAAAAACAGGAAAAAGAACGTCCTTTTACCGTCTTTTTTTTTTTCGCGCTCCCCAAGATGTACCTTTCTAATGACTAAGAGCAGCAAGGCACTGCAGCAACGGCACCTGCGGTCCTCCGTTCATGTTTACTTTACCCACTCCAAAACCTTCTAGTATAGTGTGTAGATGGAGCAGGCTGCTCTTTTGCAACGTCACCGTCGCGATCGCCGGAAGCTATTAGAGTTTCTCTTATCTTCTGGTTTGATCAAAGAGCTCCGAACTCCATCCGGTCCAATCAATTCTCTCTCTAATATCGATTTTGATTCTGTCAGCGCCGATTATATTCTCCACTGCCTAAAATCAGGTGACAAAAAGTTCCGCTTCCGTTTCCATTTGGAAAAGTAGAAAATTAATAACTAGTCATTGCTCTGCTTGGATGCTGAATTTTTAAGAATTGTGTTTAGTGGCTGAATTCTCGGGGACTGTGTTTAGCGAATAATTCTGCTCCATGACTTGGTTAATTGCTCTTTTTTATTTATTTTTTATTTTTTTTACAGGTGGTGTTATAGATGTTACTGAAGCGACTAACAAGTACCTGGTCGAATCGTCTTATCCTGTTACGGTAATAAAAGCTTATTATTATTCACTCTCGCTGATATGTGTACATAATGTTGCTTAAATTATGCTTATATGCTTGGATGGTGATTGTGGAGATGATGGAACTTGAATTGCGGTTCTGATGTAGTTTTTTGTCTCGTTTTTTGGCCATTTTCTTTAGGTAATTAAAATGGGAAGGTACATTATTATGATGGTCACAAAGTTTTGGCTTCTAATGGTTAATTAATTAGAACTGAAATTGTGTTGTTTGGTAATGGAACTGAAACGGTATTTGTTTTCTGGGAATTTTCGGGGATACTGCAAGAATGCTGGCGATACACTTGGTTGTGTGGCATGGGATTAAAGACAGTTGTAGTATTTCGCACTAATTTTTGCATGAACTTGTGCTTGCCTTTGGTTTTGAGAGAATATCTTTTATTCATTGTTTGTTGCAATGTTAAATTTCGGCAACTTTAACTTCTTCTTCTCCTTCTCTTTTGGGATTGAATTTGCAGAGTTGTTCACAGACGAGGAACTCCTTTTTTCTTGTTTCTGATCCAGATTTAGCTGGATCTCCTCCTAGGCATGTGCCGCCTCCGGTTAGTGCGCACCAAACCAAGAATGCATCACAATCATCAAGTCTGATGGAAAGGTCACGCTTTGAGAATGCCACATTGTTTGGGGATGAATCTAGTCCTAGATATAAAGTAGGAACAAATGCTCCTGTTAAGCACAGAAGAAACTCTGAAATTCCTCCACTTGGGTTACCAAGCCTGAACACAGGTATCAGTTAGTAACTTGCATTTCTTCATGAATTGAAAAATGAGGTGCCATACAAACTAATAATTGTGATTGGAAAAATAAAATTGACTGCGTTGTTTTATCCTTCTTCCCCTTGTATGAAAATTTTTATATTCATACAGCATTGGCATTTTATCCTTTGAGTAAACTGATACGTAACCTCAGGATTTTTGAAGGATTATCTGATGATGACTTGCGAGAATCAGCCTATGAGTTATTGCTTGCATCTATATTTATGTCCAGGTAAACTTTCTCACTCGTTCTCTTCGCATGTTTGCATGTGTTAATGTCCATTCATGATGTGCATGTATCAGCTCTTTCTTGCACTTGTTTTCTTGTTCCATCATGGTATTCTTTGCATGTAGGGTTGAAGGGAATTCAACTGACAATAGAAAGAAAGAAAAGAGTTCCAAATTTTTGTCTGGATCTAAAAGTAGAAGGGAAAAAATGCTTCCTCAATCTGAGTCTTTAGGGAGACACTCAGAGCTCTTGCAGACTGTTCGTGTTCAGATGCAGGTGAGCAGTAAGATCACTCTTTTTCTTGTCTTTTTTGAAATGGAAGTGATGGTTTAAACACTCAACAAATAGATATTTCCATAATGCTAATCTACAATTTAAATGAACTTTTAGGAGTATTTATTGTTTGTTTAGATCCAGTATTTTAACAGCGCTCTTTTTGTCTTAGTATATGCTTGTATATTAATTATTTTTGTACAGATCAGCATATAAAAGACCTGACATTTGAGCATTTTTTCCAATGTTGACCAACTTTGGGAAATTGGACGCAATTAGCCAACCAGTCAGAATATAATAAATAACTTTTCTTTTCTTTCTCCTACCCTCATTTCCCCTCTTTATACTCTCTCTTTATCCTTGCTTTATGTAACTTCTTATCATAATATTTGGAGGGTGAATTTCATTCTAGTTTCACAAATGCCTCTCAATAGACTAGCACAGGCATGAGATTCATACCAGTGCCATCTGGCATATGAAAGTGGCAAGGATAATTCATTTATTGCGTTCTCTGGTGGACTGTGGAAAAAGTTAAGATTTAACACATTAAAGTGAAATCCTTAGGTGTAAGTCTCCTTGAGTCTCTTCTTTCTTTGGAACTTGATTTCTTTGAGGATTGTGCACTGCTGTCTCTTTGGGGTTTTTGACCAGAAAGACTTCCAATATATTCCCTTAAGCTTTCTCTTCTTTTTTCTCAGAAAGGCTTGTTTTATAAAGAGGAAAGAGGGTTGGGGATGGAGACAGAAAGAGAGACGAGAGGGAGGTGTTATTTTTTATGATCCTGGTTTGTAGGTATGAGAGTTGGATTCACCTTCAAGGAATATAATTTTTGTATGGAATTTATACGGACTTGGGCTCTCCAAATCTAGTAATAAACTAGCATTTTTTGGTGTGGTTTTTTCAAAGTTTATATCTCTTGGTACTAGAGATGTCCACAGTTGCAATTGTACAACACAGGTGGTGACATAGGAATAGCAACATTCACGCCAAGACTAGGGAAGCTAGTGCATAATTAGTCCGGGTGGGGCCAGGATAACAGAGCATGGTGAGATTGTTGTTATCCGAGTTGTAAGGTATGAGCTCTGGTTTCGCATTGAAGGTAGACATTGGCATGAAATTTATATGGATTTTGGCTTCCCAACCTGACACACTAGCTTTTGAAGTGTGTTTTTCCTTGTTTATCGATTCTAATTACTAATAGGATATTGTTATTTGTTTTCAATTTTGATAAGTGATTTAGTTGGCTAAAATTGGAACTAATTTCCAAAATCATACTGGTATTGTTAAAACCGGAAAATTTACAAAAACTTTTGGTTATTTGGCCATGTTAAAATGGTAAAACAAAGTGCCCTAGTTTTTGGTTGAAGAAATGGATCACAGAAAATGTTAAACTTAAATCATTTGCAATATTATCTTGGTAACCCTCCCTAAGAGATAACTAATAGTTTTTAGGCTGTTAAGTTTGTTGTTTCTAATTTGGAGTTTCAATTTATTATGTTCTAAGCTACAAGTCGAGGTGCTTAAGCATTAAAGAGATTTCTATTTGCCCTGGAAATTGCTGTCTATCTTTTGATCTCATTGATCATCCCCTTAGGAATTACTTAATAAACCTGCTCTGAAAGAGGGAAAAAGAAAAATCACGAATAAATGTGTCTTTATAGGTTTATCAATTAATAGAAAAATTTAGCTTCTGCGTATATTTCCTGGCTAAACTGTTATTTCAATTTCCAAAGTAAATAGTGTTTCTTTACTAGATTTCAGAAGCAATGGATGCTTGCATCAGGCGAAATTTGATGCAATTGGCAGCGAGGAGAATGAATGGACAAATTGACCTTCCTCGTGTCTCCGTTGGGCTTTTGAATGGAATTTTCAAGTCTGATTTTCGTAATGAAAAATCCTATGCGCAATGGAAGAATAGGCAGGTGTGGGTTAAATTTATTAGTTTATTCTATTTTCTTTTCCATATAAACCTGGTCTGACACGTTCAAGCATTCTTTATAATATGGCATATAAAGAATGTCACCTGCTCTCATAATTGCAGAGATCGTGCTTCCTGTAGTTCATTGTGAACACGGTAAAGACACACTCACAGATATGTGGATATATTTAATAATAGTTGTCTTCATAATGTATTTATGTATTAACTATTGGACTTTTCCCCATAAATTTTTAGAATGTGCATATTCACCTTGAACTGCTGGTAAGACATTTGATTGTAAAACTTTAGATGGTGGAACTCTTCCTTTGTAGGGGGGAGAGGGGCCCCAGTTTTTTTTTTTTTTTTTTTTTTTTTTTAAATTCCTTATGCGCATGGAAGAATAGGCAGGTGTGGGTTAAATTTATAGTTTATTCTATTTTCGTCTTTCCATATAAACCTGGAGCTTCTCACACGTTTAAGCCTATTCTTTTATAATATGCAGAATAGTGCTAGACAAGAATGTCACCTGCTCTTCATAATTGCAGAGACTTCGTGCTTCCTGTAGTTATTGTTAAATCTCACAGGTAAAGACACACTCCACAGATATGTGCGATATATATTTAATAAATAGTTGTCTTCATAATGTATTATTATTAACTATTGCGACTTTCCCCATAAATTTGCTAGAATGTGCATATGCACCTTGGAACTGCTTGGTAAGACATTTCGTTATGTACAAATGCGTTTATGTGGGAGAGCTTCTTCCTTTGTAGGGGGAGAGGGGCCCCAAGTTTTTATATTTGTTCCTTCTCTTCTCCTCATTTTGTGCTGTCGGGAGGGGGGGCTATCGGGGGGGGGGGGGGTGGTTGAGTTGTAGGCTGCAACATATTGACACCATATTGTCCTGTCCATTTCATCATGCCTTGGGCATGACAGTCCCAGTTGCTGTTCTATAATTTCATTGTTGAACAAATTCCAAATGGCCAGTCCATTCTGCCTTATAGTCAGGCCCGATCTTTGTGTAGTATGATGTTGATTCCTATGTATGATAAAGGGATTAATTCTAGGAAAGCATTCTTTCCGATTCATGTTAAGAGCTCCTCAGCTAGTTAACTATTTGGGTCCAGTTGCACATAGTTATGAAGTTGTAACACCATGTTTCTGTGGATGCTATATATGATGTTTGTGACTAAGCAATAAAGTACCTTGTACTTTCCCTCCGCCTCGGGTTGTGGTTCTTTAACTATGTGCACATATTGTTGGGGTGGGGTAGTCATTTGATGTAACCAGAAAATGAAATCTGAAGGTTTTCTAAGCTTTAAATTTACCATTCTGTTTGCAATTATGCATGCAGGCAAATGTATTAGAAGAATTTCTTTGTTTTTCTGCTAATATCATGACAACTGAACATCTAACCATCAGAAGCCATGTTGCAAAGATCAGAGATGAGAAGGTATGGTGGATTCTTGAAAATTAAATGATATTAGGTTAACATATTTCCCCTTCTCTATCTGTTTGGTTTTCTGGATGCTATAGGAGTGGGATGATATAATGTCACCTTCAGAGCGCGTTGCAGTTCTAGCATCTATTAGACAAGTTGCTGCAAATTTGTCATCTTTGCCTGGGCGATATGGCATCCAAGGTGAAACATTTTATTGGACAGCTAGCTATCACTTGAACACAAGACTTTATCAGAAATTACTTTTTGGTGTCTTTGACGTTCTTGATGAAGGCCAACTCATAGAGGTAGGTCCTTATCTTCATTATAGCAACGCCATTTTGCTGTGTCATTGTAATTTGGTGTGGATGATGCTCAGTTTTGCTATGAAAATGCAGGAAGTTGCTGAGTTCTTATCACTTATAAAATTAACCTGGTCTACATTAGGCATCACTCAAAAAGTGCATAATGCATTATATGGGTGGGTCCTTTTTCAACAGGTATATCTTATATCCATGCCTGAAATTAGAAATTGCATATGTTTTATGTGATAATATCGTTGAACTCATGAACTAAGATTATAATAAATGTGGGCAGCTAGCAAATTAGAGTTTAGGTTTATTAAAGAGGATGATATCCATGCGATCCTGTTTTTTTGTTGCTTTTCCTTAGTAGCTATTGTTATGACATCGTTCTCATTCTGTCTTCTTAATGCAAGCGGCTTCAATGCTTGCATTGCTTGCTATAATAGTGCAGATATTCTCACATGCAAATTAATGACTTGAGGATGATCTTTTAGCATTTTTTCTAATGGAGTTTCTTTTTGAAGTTTGTGGAGTCAGATGGAGGCGTGCTTTTAGAAAATGCAGTTCTTGAGTTGCAAAAAGTTTCATCTGCTGAAGAAGCTGATGGAAAGGAGAAGCAGTATATGAACAGCCTAGTATGTTCAAGGCAATATGATGGGCATGAATTAAAGTTAAATTTAGTGCAGGGTGTATTTGTCTCAATAAGCATTTGGTGTGACAATACACTACAAGATTATCATCTGCATTTTAGTCAGGTAATTGCTATTCCTCAGTGTTTATTGTATCATATCCCACGGTCTGATATAAGCAATTGCTGAATGTTTGGATTTCTCTAGTTTTTTCCATTAAATAGCCTGCTTTCTTAGTGTCATTCTTGCCCCACATAGGTTATCACACAATAGCTCATTGATTTATTTGTTTTTGGGCTAAATGCACTACAGACACTTGCAAATCAGTTTCGACATTTTCTATCTTTTCCTTGGAACATTGGAGCTGATATGATTTTCCATGTATTTTGATGCTGCCTAGGTCACTAACTTGAGCATACAAGAGAATAAGAGAATGCGTGTTGTGTTCTTTGCTCTTCATTTTATAACTTGTAAATGCTTATGTTATATACATGCATACGCACGAATAAGGAGTTCGTTGTTTTGATTGATGCAAAACTTGGGAGCGTATGGTCATGACTTTTAATTTCTTACATTTGTTGTACCCTTGGTATTGTTTTTTTATATTTTGTAAAACATGCTCATATTTCCATTGTTTTTCTTCCTAATTAGTGGACCTTTTCTTTTCCCCTTCAGAAACCTAGTTATTTCAAAACAATGATGATCCTTGTGTCAGTGGTTGGACTTCTTACTTCTGAGGATCGTGATGAAATTAAGGTTGGTTTTTTCTGCAGTGTATGTTAAATACATGATGGATGTGATGTGGGACAAACTGGGAAAACTTGGAGTATTTGAAAGTTGAAACACATGAAATGGGTTTTCTGGAGTAGGAATACCAAATGGTACTAGTGTTATTTTTACAATTAGGACCAATTACTGGTTGAATTTGGGATGTCATCATCTTCCATGCATATGTTTGTTTATTTAAAGAATATATGGATTGCATATACATATATGTTGTTAGGTCTATATTCTTCATTCTTATGGGGCATTGAATTTGGTGACTGTCAAATTTAGTTTTATTGCTATGGCAGAGAAGAAAATTGGAAATAATCTTTCCTGGTCTTGCGTATGCAGCTATCAGAATTGAGTGCTTCAAGTGCTACTGTTTCTAGAAAACTTAAATCTCTTGTGAAGAAGTCCATCAATGCTGTAATTATGAGGGTGAGTCATATAACATTCTATACTTGTTTTACATTTTCCATTCTATTTTCTTCTATTGGTATTATTATAGGGAAAAAAAAGTAATTCTTGAATTGAATTCAGTTTATATTTATCATCCATTTTCATTTCTTTATTTGAAGTTGATTATCTATGATGTTAGGTTGCAAGTAAAGTGGATCTTGAATCTAAAGTACAAGGCATGCATCCATTAGCCATGCTTGCTAAGGAACTAAAATTGATTGCTGAAAGAGAGTTCAATGTCTTTTGGCCAGTGTTGCATCAATGGTGTCCCGAATCCCTGATGACATCAGTTGTTCTATTGCATCAATTTTATGGGGAAAGACTGGTTTGTTTGTGTATTTATTTTATTTAAATTATCCTGTTCTACTTACTGCTGGTGTAAATTTACCAATCTTCTACCTCGATTTCCACTCTGTTGTTGTCAATATGCAGAAACCATTCCTTAAGGGAGTGTCCTCTCTTTCAGGAGATGCTCGATCAGTTCTATCTGCTGCTGAAATGTTGGACAATTACTTGACTCAGCTGTATACGACTGCTCTGGGAACAGATAGGTTGCTTCACTCCAATCAAGTTTTGGACCATTATGAGGTCAGGAGCCACTTAATTTACAAACTTTATGCGAATATTGTATAGTGGTTTTTATATTGCATTGCTTTGTATTTTTAAAGAGCCTCTTTTCATTTGGCTTATATCATTCTGTGATGCTTTTCCTGCACTTGGTTGTAATTTGATACTATTTTACAGCTCTTTCTTTTTTCAAGAAACTTTTGCTTATCTTGTGGCAGATTGGACAAGTTTCCGCACCACTTGTTCTGGATTGGGTGATATCTCAGCATGCTCATATTCTGGAATGGACTGGACGTGCTTTTGATATTGAGGTTAGTTCTAAAAAACATGCAATATGTCATCTGGTGCAGGATTATTGTCTAGGTCTGTTGTCAAGGTACATGAATTTAAAACTTGGAGGGAAGGGAAGTAGGAAACAGAGAAGGAAAATTGTGTGGTGGGACTGTTGTGAATTCTCCCTGTGATTTCAAGCATACTGTCTTACCCAATGAATCAAGTAACTGGAATTGTTCGTGGCAGCAATGCATAATGTGAATCCATCGTGCTCGATACTGTGATATTGCATGTGTCTAAGACAATATTATTTTGCCTAAAGCATCGATGAAAGCATACTATCAAATTTTGATGTGTGTACGCATGAGGGAAGCATACTATCAGCATCCTTTTCAGAGATGTATGGGTAGATTTGGAGAACAATTTAACCAACAGTTTATTTATGAGCTTCTACAGGATTGGGAGCCTTTATCCTTTCATCAACGACAGGCAGCATCTATAGTAGAAGTTTTCAGGATCATAGAGGAGGTAAACACTCCGAGATTTTGTTTTGCATGATAACATCCAAGAAAATTTCCTTATAGCATTTTAGAAAATTCAGATGTTGGCTACTTCATAAAGAAGTTGCATTTTGTTGGATGGCTCCACCTGCACTAAGTTCTGTTTTCATGTTCTAGAGATTTTGCATTTTCTTTTCATTTAAGCAGTTAAAAATGTCAAAAAGAAAATTGTTGATGCATGGAAATGTCCTTGCACATGCACCCACGTCCTCATGTACAAGTTTCTATGCAATTTAAAAAAAAAATATTTCGATTGTTTATTTAATTGTAAATTTGTTGTAGGTATATTTTCATTTCAATGAGTTTTGCTTATACGTCCGATTTAACTTGCAGACTGTGGATCAGTTCTTTGGGTTGAATCTTCCTATGGATATTACCCATCTACAAGCTCTATTATCTATAATTTTCCACAGCCTAGACACATATTTGCTGAAAATGCTCAACCACTTAGGTATGGTTATTATTATTATTATTTTTTGCAATCCTGTATTTTGAAAAAAATTAAAATGATATTATAATCTTTAATACACTCTCTCTCTCTCTCTCTCTCTCTCTCTCTTTCCATTTCAAGTGAGTTTTGCTTATACGTCCGATTTTATACTTGCGAGACTGGGGTGGTATCAGTGTCTTTGGTTGAATCTTTCCGCCTATGATTATTATAGCCCAGTCTAACAAGTCTATTATCTATTATTTTCCGCACAGACGCTAGACAGGCATATTTGGGCTGAAAATGGCTCTACCGAACCGCTGTTACGTTAGTAACTGGTTATATTGAAATTTAGTTATTAATTTTTTTGGGCTATCGCTGTATGTTTGGAAAAGAAAAATTAAAATGATATTATATATGCTTTCAAATAACACTCGCTCGTCCTCTCTCTCGTCTGACGGGGTCGGGGTGGCCTCTCTCGTCTCTCTCTCTGCCTCTCTCTCTCTCTCTCTCTCTCTCTCTCTCTCTCTCTCTCTCTCTCTCTCTCTCTATGCGTAGACATATGGACGTGTGGATGAATGCTAATGTGTCATCAGCTATAGAGGCCAATGTGCTCCTTCCTGGATAATGTCTTTAGCGGCTACTTTTGTTCCTATTACCTCAAATCAAGTTTTTGAAGTATACTGATGACTCCAAAATTAGACTTAGCAAGTTTTTGAAATATGCATGTCAAGTTGATTCATTGCTATGATAAAGGGTTCATGCAGTTGAAAGTTGAAACTAGCAATTGAAAATTAGCAATTCTTTTCAATTACCTTTTGCTTTATCTCTGAGATGATGAGACACTAGGCATACACAATGTGAGGATTTGTTGGTTGTTCTGTGGGCTTGGACCACTTGGTTGATCTAAGTTGATTAAGACTTCTGTCATAACTGTGAAGTGATCCTTAAGAGTTGATAGATAGTAAGATAGCACAAGACTAACAAAGAAGTTGATGCATTACAAATAGAATAAATGAGATTATTTTGCTAGCATACAGAATTCTGAAAAATTATGAAGAGTTTGGAAATAATGGATGTTCCAAGAGTTTCAGTTATATTTTTCTGGTTTGCTGGTAATTTTCCAAGGCATAGTTATTTGTCTTGGAAGTAGAATGTTCTTTGCTGTATATAGTGTAGCACCGGATCCATTTCTCCTGGAATTTCCTACCATGCAACTAGAAGGAAAAACTTGGATGTACGAATAATTCATTGACTTTCTGCTTCGAGTAGCTCATATATATATATATATATGGACTGGAGATACATGTTGTAAAGCTGATAGCTTCCCCTTCTAATATCTGCTTCTGTGCCTTTTTGAAGCCTCTTCTCCTTGGCCCCCTTCCCATTTTTTATTGACAGGATTTTCCAAGTCATAGAAAACATATTGATATAGCTGACTCCAGTAGCTTGGCATGAGCTTAGTTGAACTGGATGGATAAGGGTTTTGTGGTGGTGGTTATCATTCTTGGATCTACAATGTGTTTCTTATCATGAAGCATAAGTTTTCTTATTCCCAAGCTTTATTTTTCTGTTGAAATAGTTTCTCTACTGCTTTTCTGACTTGCTAATTCATGAAGAAATTGAGAGAACTTTTTTCTCCAAATATCATGAGTTTTTATTGTACTAATGGGATTGTTAATCTTAATCCTAGTTTACTGCAAGATATTGACCGTAATATTTTTAATATTGCAGTTGAGAAGCATCATCTCTACCCCTCTGCTCCCCCTTTAACTCGCTATACGGAGACTGTTATTCCGGTGATTAAGAAAAGGCTTCTGGAGTGTGCATCTTTGGACAATAATGTGAACTATAAGTTGAATGAGTTAACAATTCCAAAACTCTGCATTAGGTTGAATACCCTTCAAGTAAGTGCATCTTTTGTCTTAACAATAAGACCTATAAAATTACTATGTACAAAGAATTCAAAAGGAAAAAAAAGCCTTGGAAAACCCTGGTGATAGATTAACTTGCCTTGATATGACATAAACAAGACATATTTTCTTGTCTTATAACCTGAACTTTGCTGTAATATAACAAAATTTCCTACTTATGTAGGTCTGTAAATCTTTTTTGTCCCCTGCTAGAACTTTTGGCATGTTGAAGGTGCATGTTTTGTTTGATTAATAGATTCTTTTGTCTGTCGTTTTTTATCTGCAGTATATTCAGAAACAAATTACCACGCTAGAAGACGGAATTAGAAAATCTTGGGGACTGATCAAGCCATCTCATACCTCAAGATGGAGTAAGTTTTGCTATCTCTAGACTTTTGATAAAAGATCTCCTGTATTTTACAAATATGAGTTTCTGTGTCAATAAGTTTGGCCATAACAAAAGAAAGGGATAATACAAACAGCATATTACCATTTTGTATCATATGAATGACTGCAATAACATGCAGATGGAAAAGGCTAAGGTGATTAAGGACTGTGTCGGGGTTGAGATCAGTAAAATCCGAGAGCTAATTACTTACCATTCATTTTTCTTTTCCTCCAAGATGTGCAATAACAGAAATATCTGTTAAAAAAAAAAGAGCAGGCTACATCAAATTCTCTACTAGCTCTGAAGTTTGCATCAACTATTTGGGTACTTAAATGAACATCTAAAAGATCTTAATTCTAAGTTCATCTTATTTTCTATGAAGTGCTATGTCAACTCTAAGTGGGTTCCAGCTTCTAACCCATTGGACTACAATAAATCAGTCTTTTCTTCCCTTGTTTTCATTCTCCACTGGTAACAGTGAGAAGCATAATATGTGATTTTAACTCCCTCTTTATTCCGTGGAAAGTCATCTTTCTTTCTTTTTTTTCCTTTTGTGTGTGTGTGTGTTGGAGAACCTCTTTTGCTATGCATGTATATCTGTTAGACATTGAACTTTATCCAAGAGAAATTACGACTGATGTCCAAAGTGTAAATTGGTATGTGTGTTTGAGTTTTTATATATATATATACCTATGGTTTCTTACAGATAAAATCTACTTAATGCAGGAAACAATGAGCCACAAGAAGAGAGTACTTCACTAACATCCACTGAAGCTATCGACGCACTATTTGCAACCACTTGTAGCATCATCAAGGAAACTGCAACAGATGCTATGAACAAATTCTGTGCCTTTGCTGGTAAGTTTGCTAAGTTAATTTGGATTTAAATATATTAGTGAATCATAGTTTTATGAAGTGAAGGATAATTAATAATCCCATGAGTATAGTTTATTTCTTCAGTTTCATTTTTCTTCTTCTTCTGTAACGTTTTTTAGTTTTAGTTATTAATCCTCAAATCTGATATGATCATCTTTGCAAAGAGCCTTAAACTTACAGATACTTCAACATCACAATTCAGCTGCTTTATAGTCTATTGTAATAGATAACCTTGCCATCAGTCTACGGTCTTTGTTTATCATATTGTTTTTAAATTTTTATTGTGTTTTTTTTTTCTCAATTTTCCAGCACTAGATTCGTTCTACGTATGGAGCATCCTTACTTTATTACATACACTGCTTTTGTTTCCTTGGTATTTGATACTGACAGGGAAATAAACTTAATTTGTTTCTGTAAACTGTAACTTCCAGGAGCAAGAGTTGTGTTTTGGGATCTGAGAGACAAATTCTTATTTCATTTATATCGTGGTGAGGTTGCAAATTCTCGTTTGGAAGGTTTGCTTCCTCATGTTGACGCTGTAAGTTGTTAAAGCACACTCACACATTCTCAAAGTTTTATACTATAATGTTTGTAGTATAAGATGTTAAAGTACACTACTACAGTTTTTTATGTGTATATGCCCATGCCTTGAGCTAATGAAACTCAGATAACAAATTTTTAATTGTTACAATTTTTGCAAATTCTGTATTTATTTTCTCAACTTAAGAGGTAATGATGTAGGTACTCGATCTCATATGTGGATTGATTGATGATACTCTCAGAGACATTGTGGTGTTAAGCATCTTTCGAGCATCGTTGGTACAAATCTCATTTCATTGTCTAGTATGTTGAGACACCTTTCTTAGTAGCTTGAATCTTGTATGCTTTTGACAGGAAGCCTACATTTGGGTATTGTTGGATGGAGGCCCTTCTCGTGCATTTTCTGATTCAGATGTTTGTATGATGGAAGATGACTTTAAATTGTTGAAGGTATCTCTCTCTCTTTCTCTCTCTCTAAGTTTGTGAAGTCACATGGAAACTTTTCTTTTGGGGGTAAAATTTAATAAGAGCTTCTGTACTTGTTATTTGAAGTGATGCCTTCCTAATCTTTAATAAAAGCTTAGATGCCTTGCAAATTCTTGATGAATGTGCTTTCAAGAAGCTTCACTTTCCACGTCGTATTGTTGCATGTTAAACTTCGTCTATGGAAAAACTTTCAACTTGGGAAATCCAACTTTGAGGCCTGTTGTCCAAATTCATTGAAGGAGTTGCCAGAGGGTTTAATACATTATTTTGCTATCAATTATTTTTCTAGGATTTCTTTATAGCTGATGGAGAAGGCCTTCCTCGTTCATTAGTCGAAAAGGAAGCAAAATTTGCTCAACGGATACTTGGCTTATTTACTCTTCAGGTTGGGTAGCTAATATGATTGAGGATTTATTTTTTGTTACTGAATACTTGGAACTGGCAGTTTGAACAATTGCTGTTTTGGCAGACTGAAACCATTATTAAAATGTTGATGCATGCAAGCGAACACATCTCAATGAGATTGGATTCAGATAAACATGGTCAGACGCGCTTGGAAGATGCTCAAACTTTAGTACGAGTCCTGTGCCACAAGAAAGACAGAGAGGCTTCCAAGTTCCTAAAACAGCAATATCAGCTTCCCATGTCTTCAGGTGATTTATCCATTCCAATTGGATAGTATCAAAGCATAGTGTTCGCTATGATATTTGATAATTCCATTTCATATGCATCATGTGGTGTACCTCTACCAGTCAAACTTTAATTTCTACCTTCTCCCCTTCCTGCCGCCTGCACCCCAAGCGGCATCATTGTGGATTCGGGGATATTGTTCACGCAGAGTAGGGTTGGCAAGATGAATGCAGTTCATTTATTTTTTCATGGTTCTTTTGCTGGCAGCCTTATTTGCTTGTCTTTTAAATTTTTCTAACTGTACCTCATTATCCTAAGCAACTCGAGCCACAGGTAGCATTGATTATGCTTAACATTTAATTTCTGTTGCAAGCGCAATTAATTCTTGCTGTTTTTGGGTGCAGAGTATGATGACACTCCATCTCAAGATTCAACTTTTAGATCGCCTGTTATATCGGATATTCTCAAGCGAAGTTACTCAACTCATTGGACCAAAAAGGGTCAGAGCAGTTTCAAATCAATAAAGAAGAAACTTCAAGAAGCAACATCTGAGATCAGGAATGTTGCACGGTAACCACTAACCAGTACCTCAACTTGGTACTTCAGAAAGGTAAGTTAAATTCTATTGTTAAATCCAAGAGAACAAATTGAAGTTCATCCTTGCATCTACAGCAGGGAGCATAATGACTCATTGAGACACCATTACATTCCCAGCAAGCCAATTTTTGTATGTAAATGGAAATTCATCAACCACTGAGATTCATAGTTGAGTGTAAATCCACAGCAATCTGTTGGTATACACTCATGTATTTATAGATTAGAAAAAATTAGTGACGGTTCACTGGCAGGTTTAGCAATGAGAATTTGTTTCTGGGGTAATTAGAAAATCATCAATGATTAGATTTGATGTTATGCAATCTTAAAGATTGTCTACAGGCGAAAACATATGCACAGAGAATTGGCCGCCGTTCTTTCCTTGCTTTTGTTTGATTCTACATTTGTCAAAAGTGGGATTACTTTTTCTTCTGCCTTAAAGGTGAAAATGATTTTATCATTTTGGCTCAGTTTTCCATCCATCCATAAAGCTTAGTCAGCAGCGATGCTTAATAATTCACACTTGCTTCTGTTCCTTGAAGTGATATGGGTAGTACCAATTGGTTTGGTTAGGTGGGGCCAACAATACAAGCTGGTTGCCTGTTTTATATATATATATATATATATATGTATTTTCTTTGGATTGTAACCCACCGATTCATGTTTCATGTCTGGCTTGCGCTTCTTCCTTGTCTTCAAGGACAAGAGATTGCATTAAATTAGTCTTTCAAAAGTCAGGTTTCCACACGAAGGGGAAGGGGAGTAGGAATCTGAAGCAGAGGCGTCGATTTGAAGTAAAGCAATCTACCATGGAAAACTGTTACGGCCGTCCAATTTCTAAGCTTTTGTTATTTATTTATTTGCTAAGCTTGCGCTGATGCATTGTGACTCTTTAGCTGCCGTGTCGTGTGTAAAATTGTTTTTGACCTATTACTATTCGAAAGTTAGTGGCTTTTTTAGGTTATAATAATTAATTATTCAAGGTTTGATTTTCATTCTAAAAAATACTCGCTAGGTTTTAAGAGAACTTTAGGCCGATCGAACAAATTAAATTTGAGAAAAAAAGAGAGTGGGTTGTGTTGGTCCTCATATTATAGTAAGATAATCCAAATTCTATAAATAAATTATTATTTTTTATTTATTGTGAGACTTAATGGATCAAAAATAACATGATAAATTATTCAAAAAGGTCGATTTTCTCAATCCATTGATGAAAACTTATGGTTAATGGGATAATTTAAGACCTCTCAATGGTGAGTTCACTTGTCACACATTTGAGGAAATAATTTGTTTAAAATATTTGTCACGTTTGTAGTTTTAAGGAAGAATAATTTTTTTTTTTCATATTTTACCATTTGTATATAACTAATAAATTTCAATTTAATAATTTTTTTAGAAAATAAATATTAAATTAAAGTTAATATAATTAATTTACTCAATAATTTAGATAAATTTACTGAGTTTTTTTAAAAAATAAAAAATTTTAAATATGACAAGAGGTAATAATATTTTTCATATTTTTTATAATTAATTGATTATTTATGTGCAGTTGGGTTGCATCTCACCGTCTAGACTCTAGAGTGCGGCGCCGCATTAGCGGTATTTGGTTTTTTCCATTAATGGATTTGATTTAGTCATGCATTGATAAAAACAAAAAAGAAGGAACAAAGTCGGAAAAATCACATCAAGTAAACCAAGTCAACTAGCTAAATTCCAGGAAAATACTGCGCAAGGGAAAAATACAGACCCACATAGCCATGTGCTAATTGTCTCTTCCAATCTGCAAAGGTCAAGCCTCTGTCCTAGACCTGGACTGGATCCCCTATTTATGATAATTTTGTATGTTCTTCTGTTCACAGGAGCTACAATAGAATCTAAACCCATCTTTCCTTGTTGATCCACGGCCATACGCATCTTATAAGAGCAACAGTTGCTGTTTCTTTCTTTCCCCCTCTTTTTATCTGAAATTTTTAAGATGATAAGGTTTGTTAATACTGAAAATGATAAATTAATCCATTAATTATAGTTAAAATTAATATATGATGATCTTTATTTCTAAAAATTAACTATAATATCTCTAAGTTATGATTTTATCAATACTCTGGTCTTCCAAAATTGATGAAGCAAAGTGTTAATATTAAAACCTTATAGTTTATTTAATTATAATTTAGAAATTAATTTCTTAGTAATAAAAAAAGTTATTTTACTTGTTAATGTTTTTGAAAGTAGAAGTGCCCAATAAATCCAAAACCAGAAAAGGGAAAAAAATTCATAAACCATTTTTATGGTTGAATCATATATCCTGGGCAAGTCTTGCCAGCTTTGTACAACCTACTGACTGGTGATTTACGAATTACAACTTATCATCGACAAATATTCAAATGTGAAAAGACAGTCACCGGAATACCAATCACCGTTTCACAAGTATCAGAATCCTTTTGATGATGATTATCTGAATCTGAGATTAATCTTTGTCCGACAACCGGTTGACACCCAGTTAACTTAATGGCAAGATTGACAGTCCCGTGACCTCTTGTACCATCTCTGGCACGTATCCGGTAACTCAAGTGTTTAACCGAATTTACCGGAGGGAACCCAATATCAGTGACCGGAATTTGGCACCAACCTAATAAAACTTTTCCCATAATAAGCCTTTTGGTGTAGAGCTCAAGGCATATACAGTTGTATCTGTTAGCAAGAAAAGCAGTATCGATAGGCATATGAAATTTATCACCCCAGGTGGGATTAACTCCTCCTTGATCATCAATTCTTGTAGAGTAAACATGGCACTTCTTATTACCGTTGAATGGAGTTGATGGGTAAGTGGTGATGGTGATGAAGGGGCGGAGACGGTGAGAGAAAGGGCCTGAAGATTTGCTCTTGAGACCTTGAGCTGATATGACTGTGATCTCCATTGATAACTAAAATAATTAAAGGTTAGTTAAGAAGAGATGATCGAAGGAAAAAGATTAGAATATTCTATCTTGTCTTCTGTTATGCGTATATATATGGAGAAATAAGAGGAAGGAAATGTGGAGAAGAGAGTTCTTGGGAGTTTCTAAGGTTACTGACAGTGCAGTTTCGTATGTGGAAATGGTGATTGAAATTTAAAAAAGGGATGTTTCTCTGTGACTGATACGAAGAAATGGAATTTTCGCGCCTATTGTGAAGTCAACTGGTGATGAGTAAGCGCTCATAGTAATATCCACTTGTCACCTTACAATTTATTTTTCGAGTAGGAAAGCATTCAAGTTAAATAATAGTAGAAAAATGAGAAATTAATTACAAATGAAAAATAAAACTAAGTAAAATTGAAATTGTAAATTGAATATTCAATATTATTTTTCTTATTTCTTATGAAGTCAAAACTAAAGTCATTCAGTCCACCAATCTTCCAAAAATACTGCACAAAAAGTTAATCACAATAGCTGTACCAAGTTACAACTGATTAAAACCTTTGCAGATATATGATCTTAAAGGATTCTGTTTCCTTTTCCTTTCACTTTCCAGGAACCACATGATTGCTCTTCTTTATTCATGTTCTCACGAACGGTTACATATTGACGGTGACATCATATTAGCACCATGAATTAAAAATCATTTTTTGGTACAAATAAATAAATAGAGATATTTTCAAATCAATTTTAACATACAAAAAATATTAATTTGAAGAGTACAAATCTATAGCATAATAGGTATATAATATGAAAAATATCAATCCCGATTGTAATTAATGATGATTTCTGAACCAATTCATGAGATTAATTGGGCAAAAGGAATAGAATTCTCTTTTTAAACTTATCTTAATTAAACAAATAAAAGAAATTATTCCATTTAGATAAAACAAATGGGCTAAATTCCAAGTCCGGAGAAATCTCCATAATAATAAAAAAATTAGGTTTAGTCTGAAGGTTCTAAGGAATTTAAACCAATTCCTGAAATAATTTTCCTCGATTGCTTCGCTGCCAAATCAATGGACCTTCACGCCTTTTTGAGGTAATATTTATATTCCAGAAATCCTAAAAGTCTCTCAGCTTTAATGCTTGCTAGGGACTGATAGTCTAAGTTTCTAACTCCATTAATATTTGAGACTTTTGAGTTCTTCTAATAAAATAAGAAGTTTCCTCCCACGGCCCAACTAATACAAGTACATACTAACTACAGCCAAACTTGTTGGACTTTTCAGAGTATGTAGGGAGTGGGTCAGCAGGCCTTTGGGCCAAAAGCCCAGTAAAAACTTGAAAAGGACTTGAAATGTAGATTTTTAAAAAATATGATTCTCGTGAGCACACGATTCCTTGAAAGTTCACATCCAAAGCCTTGACGAAAGCAAAAGCTCTATCAACTCCAATATGGAACAATACTAGTCAGATACCCTGCCTGCCATATTGAAATCCTTTCAACAAAATATCCGTTATTTTTTGTGCTACGAGATATTTCCATCTCGGCAGAAAATCAAGAAATCGAGAATCAAATTTGGGCTAATTAGCTTCCATGCACTTGTCCAGGTAAACTTACAAAGGTTGATATATACTTATATTACACATTGACACTGCATTTTTCAAATTCTAAAGTTGATGATCTCTAATCTAATCTATTTTTATTTGCAACATTATGCCAATTTTAATGTAAAAATATTACAACTAAGCAAACTTCTCATAGCTGTCAACAAATATTAACCGGCCTGGCACAAAACCTTCATCAAATTTCCCGTTGGGTGACCGAAAATAGTGAGTGCAGGCTTTTTAATCCTCTCATTATGCGCACCGTTTTGAGACACTCTTCATTCTTAAAAGTGACTCCCCAGTAGCGGATAACGACAGCTACTGATACTATTCGCTTCCCAAAGAAGACAAATCATCCAGCTTCGAGAAGCAACCAGAATGAGTTGCTTGCGTGTCATTGTTGACCGCCCTCCATCCCACTCTGATCCGCCTCTTTGGTGGCCACCATCATCATCATGCCACTCCAGATCAGATAATCACATCCATCAAAATTTATCAATCATTTTCCCAGCTCTAGCCAGGAAGGGTCGTGATGCTTGCTCTGCTCGGTCTTTCCATCCAACGGCTCTGATTTTACATCGGATGTAGACTCATTTTCTTGCGACTGTTGTCGATTATTCGCTTGTTTCTGTTCCTCCTCATCCTTTCTCATGCGCTTAGCCCCAATCGAAACTCCGAATAGCCTAGGTATCATCGCCTCTTCCGCAGCCGTAGTCGCCGGCGTGGCACCGCCACTGATGGCCATGTCTGTTTCCTCCCGCTGCGCAACCATCTTCATTGCTGGCAATAAATCTAGAGGTTTCCCCTCAGCTAAGTTATTATGACTATCTACTTGACCAGAAGCGTAATTCGTCATCAATGCAAGTATATTGTTACACAAGCCCTTCAATTGAGTCAGTTCCTGGCTCAGCTGTGTATTCACTTTCCTCAACCTCTCGTTCTCTTCTAGAAGCTCCGGCGTTGTAGTACAGCTTGTTGTCCGGAGAAGCGGCGTAGCCACCTGAGTTGCTACCGGCGATGAATTCGATGAAATTACCTGCTCATCTCCCGAAGTCGTTGGAGAAACAGTACGCGCCACTGCTGGAATTGCTGCAACGGTCACTGTAGCCGTTGTTGCTGCCGTTGCAACCGTCGGGGAGATTTTCCGTCGCTGAATATCACGAAGTAGTCCTTTCTCGCCTTTTCTGAAGTAATCGTTCGCAAATTCCCATCGATCCGGCACCACCTTTCTAAATCCCTACAGATTGAAATAAAATAAATGAACAGTTTATATAAAATAAATATTAAATAGTAAATATTTGAATAAGTCGTTTCTAGAGAGAGAAACTCACGTAGGTGTTGAGCTGGCGAACGAAGCTAGAGAAATTGTTGTGTTTGAAATATTTAGGGAGCAAGTCCCTTGCAAATTCAGCTGGACGCCAGACTATGAAGGTCGATCCGTCCTCGTTCCAAGAAATCAGGTCATCAACTGATGGATCATCAACGAGCTGATAAGTTTTGGTGAGAAATGGAGTAGGAAGAGACCTCTGCGAGTCTCCTGCCCCTCCTCCTGCGGCGGTTGATTCGCCGGTTTGTTCGACTGGCAATGGCATCATTGGGTTCGGTCTCAGATCCGAACCCTATAGAACAGGCAGCTATAGCGACAGTTTATTGGCTTGCTGGCTCGAATTGATTAATCAAATTTCTACCAAAGTTTCAGATTCAATAAATAACTGAAAATGAAAAAACAATGATAGAAAAAGAGTAACTATACTAAGGTCGAGGAAAATAAAGGAAAAAATAACCGAGAAACTCTATTCTGGCGAGCCAAATTTAAAACTGCTGAAGTGATTTCGTAGGCGAGTTACTTCGTCAAATGGAGACTGAAAAAATCTAAAATGTACAGCAGTTTCAAGCTATCGCATTCAGAAAATAACAACAAAATTACACATGTTCAAACTATTAGGAAGATTTAAACGAAAGAAAGTAATCGCACCTGAAGAAAAGAAATCAGGGAATCTCTTTCCAGTAAAGAAACGGTGGGATTTTCTCTCCAACCAAACAGTTACCGAACTTCAACTCCAGCTATCATACACAACACAACCCTTCTAACCCAAGGACCATCACCGTACGCAGAGCAAGCAAGAAGCAAGCACGTTGATCCCGCAATTCACAGGAGAGCGAATGAGAGAGAGGACAGAAGAGAGAGAAAGAGAGTTAGGTTTTGTTGTTTCTAGAAGGTTCTGGTTGGAGTAAATGATAAGGCGATGAAAGAGAAAGAGAAATCGTGGGTTCGAAAGAAAAGAGCAATAAAAAAGAGACTCTTTTTAAATAAAAAATAAAAAGGAAAGGGGCAGGATGTAGGACCCACACATGGCAGAAAAGAGTGGAAGACGCGAGAAGAGTTCGTGTCGTGCGTGTGTTTGTATGTAGAGCTTCTTCTTTTAGGTCCTTTCGTGAAAGTTCTTTCTCCTTTTCTTAAGACTACGTCACCGTTTTATTAGTTACAGATTGTGAACCGGCGGTTAATGAACAATAATTTATCGTTACGGCTGCTGTGATACACGTGTCGATTAGATATACCACATAATGCCCAATATTTTTAGGATATATATGTATATATGCTTGGCCTTTTGGATTGCCCTAAAGGTTCTAGATATCAGAAATTGGAGAGGCCACTATGGAATTATTCTCTTGCCATGTGGCAAATATCAACTTTGTTTCGGATCCCCTAAAAGGCTTTGCTTCAACTTATTTTACATTTATCTATTTATTTATAATATATCTATTTCAGCAAAGAAGAAAACACAGTTACACAACAATGTCTAAAATTCTAGCTCATTTCATTGTTACTCAAGAAAAAGAAAAGTGTCACTCTGCATTATTCCAAAGGTGATAAGTCATTATCATCATATGAAGAAGAATCTGAAAATAGCACATATTTAATGAAAATCAAATGTTGTTGGTATCACTCCTGCATGCATATTCAGTCCAGAAAATGAATGCTTTTTATATCTAAAGTTATGAACAGTCTTTATCTGCAGAAGGGACCATAAATAAATACTTCTTATTTCCTCATAAGAAACATAAAACTCTTTCTAACAAACATTAAACCAACTAAAATAACTAGAAGTGGAGTATGATAAACAGACATGGGCTGCGAGTAATAAATGAAAGATGCAAAGAAGGAGAAAGAAATAGTCCATACCTCTGTCAAGTGATAGAATTCCAAAACAGGAGGAAAATGTCTTGCTTACGTTCCTTGTTGTGCATGTTATCCTCAGTATGTTTATCCACAAACTGTCTCTTCCTTTCCCGCACGGAAACCGTAGAGATGTAGGAACGATTAGATGACATGTCGTTAGTTTGTTTAGAAATGTCGACGAGCGGTGTGGAAACTTCTGTTATTTGGTTCCTTCGGCCAAAAGCCTTCTCTGAGCCTAAATATGGGCCTGCATTTGGTTCTTTTGGCCCAAAACCCTTCTTTGAGGCCCAAGTTTTTACGCATTTAGAAAATATAGGCCCACAGTTATCGGTTCTGTTCTATATTTGGGCAACAAAAGAATCGACTGGTGTCAGTGAGAGGAAAATCGTTTCAAGATACTGAGGATTGATTGTCTGGGTTTTCAGATTCGTAGCGATTCTTCATCGCGGCCTCCATATGCAGGTGAGATTGGGTGAAAAATAACTCTGTAGCTTATTGTTTCATCCATATCTGAAAACAAATATCTCTGTTGCCAGCTTCTCAACTTTTACACGCTAGGCTATTTTAGATATTGATTTTTCTGTTTCTGAATCGATTAGAAGTTATAATGTTCTCAAAGTGTTTGACGAAATGCCTTAACCATTTCGTGGGTTCAAGAACTGGAACTTTGAGATTCTTATTTCTTTTTCCTTAATGAGTGAAGAATTTTGTTTCTGTGTTACTGACGTTTAATTTTCTCTGTGTGTTTGAATTTGCAGCTAGAAGGACAAGTTATGTCTGTTTCAAAGGCATATTAGTTGGTCAGCTTTTATGAATTGATTTCTTATGATTTCTGATTAGTTCGAAGCTACCAAACATGCCTGCATTAGTATCATCAAGGTTGCTCCTTTTTGGAGAGTCATTGCCCTTTCAGAAGCTGTCTCTTGTCTCTAGAACGGCTTGGTGCCTCCGCAGGATACAGCATTCCACTCAGGTTGGACAAGACAGGGGTCCTCTTACTATTGCAAGCGTGGGATTAAAGGGTGAGTTTGAAAGGACGAACAAGATTAAAACAGATAAACGTGAGAAAGTTAAGCTGGATTCAGCTATTGAAGTCCCCAAAAGTAAAGTGAAGCCAATTGGAAATCATGCATTCAGAGCTGTTCCTGAATCTCTTGAAATAGAGTCGACTCCATTTTCTGCAAAATCGTTTTCTGAGCTTGGCCTTCCACCTCTGTTGCTAGAAAGGTTGGAGAGTGAAGGCTTCAAAGTTCCAACTGATGTTCAGTCTGCAGCTATCCCCACTATTCTCAAGAATCATGATGTTGTCATACAGTCTTATACGGGGTCAGGAAAAACACTGGCGTATGTCCTCCCAATACTGTCCGAAGTTGGGCCATTGACAAATAAATCTTCTAATGGCGATAAGGAAGATCGGAAAAAACCAGAGATAGAAGCAGTTATCGTTGCTCCATCTAGGGAACTGGGAATGCAAATTGTGAGGGAAGTTGAAAAGCTTCTGGGACCAGCTAACAAGAAAGCAGTTCAGCAACTTGTTGGGGGTGCAAACCGATCAAGACAAGAAGAAGCTCTTAAGAAAAACAAGCCAGCAATTGTTGTTGGTACTCCTGGCAGGATTGCAGAAATTAGTGCATCTGGGAAACTTCAAACCCATGGTTGTCGTTATTTGGTTTTAGATGAAGTTGATGAGCTCCTGTCATTTAATTTCAGAGAGGACATGCACCGGATATTGAACCATGTGGGGAGGAGATCAGGTGCAGATCCTGGTGGATCAAAAAGCCCTCTTACCAGGCGGGCTGAGCGTCAGACTATACTGGTATCTGCAACAGTGCCGTTTTCGGTGATAAGGGCAGCTAGAAGTTGGGGATATGACCCACTTCTTGTACAGGCCAGAAAAGTTACTCCACTTGAATCTGTACCTGCCTCCGGACCAGTTAATGTGGCAGGGCATAAATCCAGTTCAAGCTCGAACTCAAATATGCAGCCTGAGACAGTAGTGCAGAGTCTTCCTCCAGCTTTGAAACACTATTATTGCGTTACAAGGTTACAGCATAAGGTTGACACTTTAAGGAGATGTGTTCATGCGCTTGATGCCAAGTCTGTGATAGCTTTTATGAACCACACCAAGCAACTAAAAGATGCTGTCTTCAAGTTAGAGGCTCGTGGAATAAATGCTGCAGAACTACATGGAGATATTGGCAAACTTGCTAGATCTACCATCCTAAAGAAATTTAAAAATGGGGAGGTGAGAGTTCTAGTGACAAATGAACTTTCAGCAAGGGGTTTGGATGTGCCAGAATGTGATCTGGTGGTTAATCTGGGGTTGCCTACAGATGCAATTCACTATGCACATCGAGCTGGCAGGACAGGTCGGCTTGGCAGGAAGGGCACTGTGGTAACCATTTGTGAGGAGTCAGAAGTTTTTGTTGTGAAAAAGATGCAGAAGCAGCTTGGAGTCTCTATTCCTGCTTGCGAGTTTACAGAAGGCAAGCTTGTTGTCACAGAGGAAGAAGAGGAGAAGAAACCTTCAGAGGCTCTAAAATGAAGGCTATCTTATTTACTCTGTATACTTTCTTCAGTAAAATTAGGACAACTGATCTTCTGGTTTTTTTATCGGATATTCTCCAAAACGGAGGTGTATTGTTGGCATAGTTCATCCTTGTCATATCTGTTGACTATAGCTTTATTTTCGATTATTTCAGCTTCTCACTCTTTTTGGCTTTTAAATTTGAAGTTTATATGATTATATATTTTTCATTGAAACTTGAAGTTTATAACGTACTAACACCTTATTAACCCAGCAGAATTCTATACATCTGACGGTGTTGGATCAATTACATCAGATACCGCTGAAGAAGCTGCAACCTGATATTACAAGGCACAAGCCCAACAAAGGGAGACTAGTTTTTCCTATGTTTTACATACTAATGTGGAGCACTTGTTTTGCAGGGGTTAAGCACTGTAATCAATTACAAAATACATCACCGCTTACCAGATGATTCTCTTACAGAGCTTATAGCCTGACAAAACAGTGCAGGTTGCAATAACCAGGAAAGTTACAAATGATATGCTAATGGAAATGATAGTTGCCTTCCAAATTGATGCAGTTCTGGTCATATGTTGAATGATGGATATTGCGACCGATCCAGAAGAAATGAGAAGATAAGCCGCCAACTGGTATATATGCTTGCAAATAATTAGCCACTTAATGATATATAATTTCTACATCAAAGGAATAGAAAACTGTACCTGATCAAGTATAAAACTCAGGTAATCAGAGATCATGTCAGAAATGAGAAATCCTGTGTGTGTAATGTCACAAACACCTTTGAAGAGTTGAAAAGCAGAGTAAATAAAAACTAAAACATATACGACAAAGCAGTACCTACAAGAAGATGAATTAAAGATCATGAGATGATCATACTGTGAATAAACAATACTATAATACATAATTTAGTCTATGGTTACATTTACTTCAATTCTGGGTAATCTGCGAATTGACCATTCTTCTTTGATGGAGGAAAAGCCAGTGACAGCGCAGAGACAAAGGAGAACAGAAGTGCCAAGAACCGAAGGACTAGACCAGAAAGATGAATGGAAGGTCTAGAGCTCCACCTGGTAGAAGCAATAGAGAAAGAGAAAGGTGATGGTGTCGGAAATGGTCTTTGGGATAGAGAATTGACTGATAGTGGTGATTCTGAGACACCAACCATAGTTCTACCGGCAAAAACTAACTCCTCTCCTTGTTTCATTGTTTTGTTGATTAACTACCACTGAACCTTTTTTTTTTTTTTTTCGAGAAAGAAGGAAAGGTGATGGTGTCGGAAATTGCGTCTTTTGGATAGAGAGAGTTGGAGCTGAGTAGTGGTGAGTTCTGAGAACAGTCCAACCATAGTTCTAACCGGGCAAAAAGCTAAACTCCTCCCTTGTCAGTTGTTTTGTTGGATTTAGACTAGCCAGCTGAACGCTTTTTTGTTTTTTTTTTTCGCTCGAGTTTGTTTCTTTGCCGTATAGTTACAGTATATTTGACCAATGTTTATGCAGTTTCAAGGAAGGTGAGAGACAGATGCAGAGAAGGACTAACCTCTTTTTTTATCATTATTCACGCATGAGAAGCTTAAAGAATGACCCCAAAATTAGATTATAAATATGCGCCACGTAGCATGAAATAGACAAACCGGATCTACCAGAGACATCATATCTTGTGCTTAAGCACGAAAACAGTATTATAAACAGAATAAGATTTAACCACAAACTCTATCTTTTTTATATTTTTTTACCTTTTTTTTTTTTTTTTCGCTCGAGTTTGTTTCTTGCCGTTGTACAGTATATTTGACAATGTTTATGGAGTTTCAAGGAAGGTGAGTAGAAGTGCAGAGATGACTAACTCTTTTTTTATTATTACGTATGAGAGCTTAAGAATGCCCAATTGATTTTATGCCACGTAAGCATGAAATAGACAACCAGTGATCTACCAGAGCTAATTCTTGTGCTTAAGCACGGAACAGTATAACAGATAAGATTTAACCACAAACTCGATCTTTTTTTTTTTTTTTTTTTGTGTGTGTGTTTGGCTTTATAAAAACTGCTCAATTTAAAAACAAGAGGCAGGTGAGGGAAAGAGAGATGCACACGTCAACTCTGGTGGGTCAACTTTGATTTTACTTTTTCTATATACAATAAGGAATTACAACTTGTTAATATATATATATATACATACAAGTATAATTCATTATCAAGAAGTAGGAGAGATGAAGTGCTTGATTCTAATTTTGTTTTAATAGAGTTCAGCAAATATTTTAACGTGGCAGTCAAATATAATCACATAAACTAAGAATGCATGAAATGATATTATCAGAGCAGACATTGTTAATACTTGAGCAAATTTCCTCGAGAAGACAAATTTACCCTTAATGGTTTCAGTGCCAATAGTTGGTTAAAATTTTGTCCTTTTAATTTTCCAAATCCAAATTAATTATCCAACTTAGCATTCATTCAAGGAATTAGAGATGCTTGTACATTTTATTTTGCGAGAGAGTTTAAGCAAATAGTGTGAAAAAAATACAAGTATAATGGAACAAGCCCTATCAAGTCAAGTCATCAAAATTTATAATAGTTTTGTGTGGTTATTATAAACCCCTCAGTATATCAGAGGAAAAGAGGACAAAAAATAATGTGTAGTTTACAAGCTTAAGCAAGAAAAAAAATATCAAGGCTTCGATTGGTATCCCCATGGATTGTTGCTTGCCCAATTCCATTGGTCTCTGCACATCTCCGCTATACCATATTTCGCCCTGAAAATGCCATCAGAGCAACTGTAAGCTTTTTCAGATGCATAAAGAAAACATACGATGACTGAAATTTTCAAAGATTGAAAAAGGATGGATTGAGAATGTACTTCCAGCCAAGTTCTCTCTCAGCTTTCTCTGTGGAAGCATACACAGCAGTGGCATCTCCAGGTCTTCTTGGACACAGCTTGATGGGGATTTTCTGAAAATTTGTTTTTTTAACAGATATTAAGTCACAACCCATTTCCCGAGAGGGAATAAACTGGAAAAAAGAAAGAAAAGTCACCTTGCCAGAAGCCTTCTCAAATGCAGCAACCATTTCAAGCACAGACGTTCCTTGTCCCGTACCCAAGTTATAGGCTACACAACCTAAATACGAGGGAAACACTAAGCAAATGCTCAAATGTATAGCAAACCAGGTTAAAATAAATGTTTCTTTTTTTTAATTAACATTCTTGTATGAGCACAAAGAAAACCATCACCTATATTCTCTGTTGTAAAAAGCTTCTGAAGAGCAGCAATGTGACCATCTGCCAAGTCCATAACATGAATGTAGTCTCGGATCTGTTTATCAAGAAACATGTGGACATCATTTGATAACTACTAGATGAATTTTGCTAAATGTATTTCATAAAAATATGACTAGCAATTTGTAGTTCTAGTCAATTTTCATCCTTGTGAAAACAACAGTGTATAGAAGAATACGTACTGCACTACCGTCCTTTGTGGGATAATCATGGCCATATACATTCAGTTCAGGCAATCTGCTAACAGCCACTTGTTGTATATATGGCATTAGATTGTTCGGGATACCCTTGGGATCTTCACCAAGTTTACCACTCTCATGAGCTCCAACAGGATTGAAATATCTCAGTAAAATGATTCTCCAATCTGGTTCTGCCCTTTGAATATCTCGAGCAATTTCTTCCAGGAAAAGCTATAAATGCATAGCAGAAGAATATTAAGCAAAGGGAAACTGGACTATTCTTCAGAGACAAAGGTAGCAGTGGGCTAATCATACTTTGGAACATTCAACATATAAGTGGTTCAAGCAACAACTTGGGTAAGCGGCAGTTTTCAGGACAGAGCAATGTATACCTTAGTTCGCCCATAAGGGTTCATTGCCATTAACTGGAAGTCTTCAACACATGGAATTTTTTCAGGTTGGCCATAGACAGTGGCAGATGATGAGAATACCATCTAATTTTGGACATCATCAAAGAAAAATATATATAAAAAAAGAGTTAAAAACCATTGTTCAATAGCAGGGAAAAAGCAATGGAATTATCTTATGAGAAATGAAAGCCGTACAGAACTTAAAAGAAATAATATAATTAATAAATAGCCGTTCCAGAAAATATAAGGTATAAATATCTTCAACAAGAATCAACATTTCAGCAAGAAAAGTAGTTTTGACAAATTCAGGCAAGCCATACAAAAGCAACAAAAAGTTTGTTTCAAAAATCCTGTCACATGCCTAAACAAGAAAGTGAAATGTCCCAATTTAAGCAGCTGTTGCTGTCAAGAAATCTGACTCTTGTGCCTAGCCTATAATCAATGAACAACTGGTTATTTTTAATAAACCGACAAAGTGCTGCTGAATTATCAGTGATACTGCCAAATATGTAGTCCTTTCTAAGATCATCCATGTTTGTCTTTCTGATGTACATTGAAAGCCAATCAGCAGTGGTAGATTTTACATTTAATGGATTGAAATCAATAATCAGATGTAATCTTTAAGAGTTCAGAATACTAAAATGACGATTACCTTCTTACAGTTATATTTTGCCATGACCTCATAGAGGTTGATAGTGCCAATCAAATTATTGTCAAAATAACGACGAGGATTTGCTACGCTCTCCCCAACTGCTTTTAGGCCAGCAAAATGGATTACAGCATCAAATCTGTCATATTGGCAAATATGAGTCAGTTCCACAACTGAAAAGGCAAGGATCTTCATATAGGGTAATTCAATAATTGCAATCATCCTTTTTACTTCAGAAGTAACTTCATCTAATGTTAAATAAAGTCTTGATCTTATTAGTTTCATAGGCCTAATCTAACATAAAGAAGCAAAAAATAATAATAAATCAAGAAAATGCAGTCTAAGTTAAAAATATCGAAATCGAAAATTGTGTCTCTCGAAATCACTTACTTAGTTCGAGAGAACAACTTTTCCAAATCATCCTTCTTTCTAAGATCACCCTGCAAAGCGCACCAAAATAACTAATTTCGGAAAAAAGAAGCGAGAATAAATCGTTGAATCTCAAACCCAACAACAGAAAGTCTCCATTTAATTTCTCCTAATATACATTCTTGATCCCCCATTTCCAGAACCCAAAAGAAAACATTCTTTCATTTGAATCCTTCACTTTCATAGAAAAAGTAAGATCAAGAAGAGAAAACATACCAGATTGAATTCAAGTTTTTTTGAAAGCTCAGGGCCCACCAATTCCCTGACCCTATCAACAGCTTCAGTGACAGAATTATCAAGATTGTCAATGATTGAAACCCTAAAACCCTCTTTTAGAAGTTGCGCTACAGTGTGGCTACCAATGAACCCAGCCCCACCAGTCACGAGAATTGTTTGCTCAGCCATTATCAAAGAAGCAAAATTCAAGAATCCAAACACAATCAAACAAAGGTTCAGAGACAAAAATGGAGGACTATGAAGAGAGAGAAAGACCCACACAGGAGACCAAAAAAGAAAAGTAGAGAAACAAATTAAGTTTTGATAGAAATTGTGGCGAAAAAAGGGTCGGTGTTTATATAAGGGAAAGAACGAATCTGTGTTTTGAGCGAATCAAGGAGACTGTTAGACTGGGATAAGAGAGCTCGCAAAATCTCAAAAAAGCAGCACAGCTTGTTCGTTTTTGTTTGAGTAGGTTACAGGCTGTTTTTTGGCGCGCTTTTTACTGTTTCCATTAACCGTAATCCAGCTGCCTGCTAAGCGCGTAAAATTCACCTCCTACTGATTAGATCCCTTTGGGCTTAAGCCCTAACCATTACAGTTGAGAGTGAGATTTGAGAGGTGACGAAGAGGTTTCTGTTGACAGCCAGCATAGTAGCTCTGGCAACCAAAAATGGTTGAAGTTTCAATTTTTTCCTTTCCCGGGTTTTCAGTGTTCACACAGATTGATGTGTCCATTTTTATCTGTAGGTTTAAAAAAGTTGTTTCATCCAAAATTATTTTATGCTCTCGGTCTCTTTACTAAATATAATAATTATTTAATTTCTTAATTATAGTGTAAAAACCTTTAATGTGGAACATAGATTTTTATATTTTAATTAAAAAAAATAGTTTAATTGACTGATAAATTTGCATTCATTTTATTTTTTATTAACTAGGTTAATGTTTTAATATCAATTAAAATAGATTATTAAAATATGGGTAGATTATGGATAGAATAGAATAACCAAAATTAGCATATTTAAACATGATAATTTAAATTTAAAAGGGAAAAAATTGCTTCTCCTTTCCAATTCAAGAGGATAAAACATCAATTATAGATGGGACAATCGACAGGATTTGTCTAAAAGGGACTTATTTCACCTCATCATCAAATCATAAAACTCAACTTAAAGTAATAAAACAGAACATAGTTGTTTCGCGCGTGGATGATGCAGAACGCAGAAATGGAAGTGAGTTGTTTCTTATCTTATCATGTATGGACACAATTTTGACAGCCTTACATAACACAGTGAAAACAAAATTGTTTCATTTTTCATGGGGCGTTAGGTATGGCAGCATGGGAAGCACGCTTCATATTTGTTTCCTGCTGCCCAAAAACTATGTCATCCTACAATAATGCGTAATGGAACAGAACGAGAGTATAATATAGCTATGTCTCTGTATTTTTTTTCTTCTAATTTATGAAATAAAATGTTCAAATCCTATGCACTTTCATGGGTTTCTAATTGAAAAACAAAAAAAAAAAAAAAAAAAAAAATAAAAACAGAACATAGGTTGTTTCGCGCCGTGGATGATGCAGAACGCAGAACATGAAGTATGTTGTTTCTTTTATCTTCATTACATAGCTATGTTACACAATTTGACAGCCTTACATTAACCCACAGTGGAAAACAAAATGTTGTTCAACTTTTCATGGGGCGTTAGATATGCAGCATGGCAAGCACGCTGTCGATATTTGTTTCGCTGCTGCCCAAAAAACGGTAGGTGTTCATCCTACGGAATAATGCGTAATGGAACACAACGAGAGATGATGAATATAGCGTATGTCCTGTTTATTTTTTTTCTTCTAATTTATGAAAATAAATGTGCAAATCCTGATGCACTTTCATGGGTTTTCTATTGAAAAACAAAAAAAAAAAAAAAAAAAAAAAGTTAACCACTTACTGGGGCACTTCTTATCAAAAAAAAAAAAAAAAAAAAAAAAAAAAAAGGTTAACCACTTACTGACTTTATTTATCTCAACTGTCAAGGTATCTTCACATCTTCACGAACTAAGTTTCTCTGATTACCAGTAATTAATCCCTCTCCATATCAAATGCAGATTCCAGTTGTCGTTTTAGAGATTTTACAGCGAAGGAAGAACCAGGCTTACCGAAGAAAGATAGAACACCCTGCTTCAAATTTAAAATGTCTGCAGTATTGGCATCTTCACCATCACTTGTAGGCGAGAACTTCCACAATGGTGTATGAGTGACATCTGGAGAGTTATCCAGACCAGTCTTCCTGTAAGTTCTTTTTCTTATAATAGAAGGTGTATTTTTAAAAGTCCTTGCTGAATTCCTCAATATTGATTCTGGACTATTACAATTGACAAAGCTACCCCGTCTAACATTGGTAGGAGTAGCAGACAAAAATTGAGTACTTGTATGCAGAAAATGATGGTACCCAGTAGGAAGTTCAGTGCCATCCAAACCAGGAATCAAGTCCCTTGGTTCAACATCATGTGTGACATTGTTTATTCTATCTTCAATCGCTGCACCACAAGTCCTAGCACCTCTGTCATCAAAATGTAATAGATTCATCAGCTTATTATCCACCTCAACTGAAGATCCACAAGTTCCCGCCGCACCATATTTTGCTTCTAGTTGGTCATGTCCTCCATTACCAATTCCACGAGGCAACTCTGAAGTACTTATCTCAGCAATATTCTTCAATCTCATCTTTCTGTCACTAGAGACTGTTTCATCAAAACTTTGCCTTTCTTCTCTCACCTCCATGCTGTCTGGTGATGTTATACAGCAGCAGAAGTTCAGAGAACCATCTGTGCATGAATCCATTGCACAAGCAGGGGAATTTGAATTTAACTTCTTCTTCATTATACAATTCCAATGATTTTTTATTGCATTGTCAGTCCTATCAATTTCCATAAGATACAAGAATATTAAAAACTAAAAGACAAGCACAGTCATAACGTTTGAATTTATGCTGGGTTTGAGTATATTACAGAAATTTTCAGAAGTATAGTGACACATATCCATGATGCAGTTAATTAGAAATTCAAGTGCCAAAAGATATTATTAGACAAAGTCTAATATGGATGAGAATTGATGAGATATTTAATCATCTGATGATCCTCTCATGGTCTAGAATCCAGTTAAAAAACAATTCTACATAATCTACCATAAGTTTAGGGGAAAATTGCAAACATTATAGTATCCAGAATAAAATGAAGTTTATACTTTGTTTCCCAACAACAAAAACTAAAATGGAACTGAACAGAGTTTGCATTAAATATCATCAGATGTAATATTATCTCTAGAGCATTTATCTAAAATATGCACCTTCCACGTAGAAACTTTGCTATCTCTGTCCACTTGTTCCCATATGTTTCATGGTAGTGAATAAGAGTCAATTCCTCCTCCTCTGTCCATGAAGTTCTCCTTATAGCTGGGTCTAAGTGATTGTACCACCTGCAAAATCCCATTGTGAACTTCATAGTTGTACACATTAGATCCTCCAATGGACAATTCCAAATGCACGCATTGGATGACATATAAACTATGCAAACAAAGAGAAATCAGCTTAGTCTCAATTCACATATAAAAATTAAAAAAGCTTATTGCCTGATAGAAAGTTGATGTGTTAACGAAAAATTTCTACCATTTACCTTTCTCTGCATTGCCTGCCTAAGCGACCTGGCAAGAACTTGGCAATAACAGACCATTTCTTCGGACCATACTTTCTAACCGACTCTATGATGCAGTCATCCTCCTGAAAGTGCAAACAAGAAATAAATAATGATCCTATATTAATTATTAATTCTATAATGAAAATGAAATACCATTCCTAGCAGGAAAAAAGCAAAAACAAAAACATGCAAAAGTATCCTAGTAGCACCTCTTTTGTCCATGCTCCTTTGACAACTGCTGGATTAAGAACTCTATTCCAGCGAGTAAAGCACTGAGAAACAGTCCTTCCAGGGAGACACTCAGCTGAGAAACACCGAGAAAAATTTGATCATCATCTGCTTTAGATATGATAGTGACAATTTTTTAGGACATTCATTAATCATAATATAAAAACTAGACAAAACTTCAAGGAGCAGCCACCTATTTTCTTCCAATTCCTCCCATGGAACTCTCTGACTGATTCCATAAGAAGATAATCCTGTTAATCAAAATCCTTGAGGTTACAATTACAAAATTGAAAAGTCGTAGCAAATTCAAGTTTCCGTCCCTTAATAAAATTGAACTATTAGATGCATTAATGAATAAATCAAACAAACTAGCCATAACACAATCACATCAAATTTTGAATAACTGATTCAAGACAGGATTTTTAACCGAGCTACTATTACAGGAAAAAAAAAACAATAGCATTCAGCTTTTAGAACAGAACAAGATTGTCCAATGACGACTAACCTCTGCTTCTGTCCAATGCCCTTTTGTTGATTGTCGAGCTGGACCAGTTACCCTCCTATAAATAGTGAAAGTAGTGTCGTTGAACAATTTATCAAAACTTAAAATAATAGTAATGACCTAAGTAAGCATTATTCAATTCTTATTCTTAATCCCCGAAGCAAATGCTCCAAATTTTGTTAATGGGGAAAAACTATTGTTGATCGAAATGAGATATTAGTATTGGTGTATAAATTAGAAGAAAAGGTTGCAAAAGCGTAAACTTGAAAGGGAACGAACCTTGGAATAGCTGTACGACAAGTACCAAAATAGACTGAGAAAGGTTGAGCATCTATAACTTGGTCTCCCAAATCTACATTATAAAATTCCTCCTCTTTCTTAACTTTCATCACCATTTTCCCTGGAACAGCAACCCAGCCAACTACAATGACTATGTTTTCTACTTTCCCATTACATTTTCTCAGGAAACAAACATAGGAAAATATCTAGAAATCGAGCAAGCACACAGACACCAATGGAGCATAAAAAAAACCTAAAAATAAGATGGGCATAAGAAACTGAAAATCTTACCTTTTCAAGTGAAGACTCTATAAGCAAAAGCAATAACGCTTCCAAGAAAAAGATACGAGAGGATCTATTTGAATTTGACAAAATGTGAAGATTTCTCGAGAAAGACTGGGAATGAATGAGAAAGCAAATAGCGCGCGGGAAAGCGAGAGAGAGTGGAAATGGAAGTGTTTAGTGTGTGTAACCGCTCCGCTACTTCGTTTTAAACGGTCATAGCTTGCGTTGGAAGCTTGACGGTCAGCTTATGTTGGAAGCCATTGACGCTTTACGGAACTGTCAGCTAACGACGTTCGTAAAACGTTGATTTTTGGCTTTTTTTTTTTTTTAAAAAAAAACGGGTAACAACAAAACGACCCGATTAACAAAAATAAAAATAAATAATTACATGTTTGTATGAATTGGCACAATTAATTGTTAAAAAATTATCATAATTTCGTTTGGTTATCTAGTTCATAACACATTAATTTATTTGATTTTATACTTTTAATCATAGCTATCTCATGTGAGCTTACGTGGCATCTCCATATAAAATTTGAGTATTTAATTTTTAGTTAGGCTAAAAAAAATTTGGCTTTTAAAATTATATTATATGAGTTGCAAATTAGAAAATATAACTCATTTATTTAATATTGTCTTTATTGTCTTCAATATTATAAAATATAATTAATGTTGCCTAATTATGATTTCTCTCATTTTCTTAATTTTGTAAAATTACATAAAGATTTTCATATTTTTTTTAATGAAATTAATTAATGATAATTTATGCATTACACATTGTAGCATTTATTCATTTTCACTTTTTTTATCTTATTTAATTAAATGGATGACGGTTTGTGGATTAATTGGAAAAATTTTGTTTATTATATTTCCGATTTATTATATATAAATATAAATAGATTTATATACATATTAAAATACAATTAAAATCTATAAATCTAAGGAGCTTTAAAATTGAAATGTTAAAAAAAAAAAAAAACATAGAGAATTATAGCTTTCCTCATCAAACATTATCATCTAATTTTATAGGGTTTTATGAATTTAGCTTACATGATTTTTAAGTACAAAATATGTTTTTATGTGGCTGTTGGTGTTTCCTATATTAAAAATTTAAATAACAAGTCTTTTGTAAGATATATATCACTAAAATTAAAATTCAAAAAAAGAAAAATGCGCCTTTATCAAATTAAAAATAAAACACCTTCCTCTTCTTATGATATGTGTACAAATTAACCTCTATAAATATTTTAATTTATAATTTTTCTACTCATAATTTCCCCGTATTTTATTTTTTATGTCTATAAATTATGTTTTGCTTGAATATATGAAACTCTTTTATTTCTCCCATTCTTTTTTCTCCTCCTTCTCTTTTCTTTATCTCTCACGTCTTTTACCTCACATTGATTCTCATATTCAAATTATGTTTTTCTTTTATTATTATTATTATTATTATTATTATATACTCTAAAAAAAGTAATTTATATATCAAAAAATGCAGAGCAATAAAATATTGTAACCACTACCACTAGTGTATTAAAATATCCTAACTTTGGAGAGCAATTTCACCCTATTTTATAAATTTTATCTTAATTTTGACTTTTTATACAATAGTATTGTTACTTGCAATTAACGATAGAATAATAAATAAAAAATATTTCTCTCTCCTTTTTTAAATTAATTGTAAAAAATAAAATTTTAAATATTCTTTAAATTTAAGTGTTATTCATTGACTCATTTATAGATTTAGAAATATGAAATTTAAAACATGTGCAACTAAAATAATTAGAAAGTTATTTATTTGTGTTTTGTTACATGGATAATATTTTGATATATTATCAATCCAAAAATTACTATAATTAATTTAAATGTGCAACTAAAATAAATTAGAAAGTTATTATAATTTGTGTTTTTGTTACATGAAATATTTGAATATATTGATCAATCCAAAAATTAACTAATAATTAACTTTAAATTTAATATGTAATTTAATTTATTATAATTTTATTAATTCTGATTTTTTATGCCATGTTTTGAAAATTTTTTTTAGTAAGTAACATTATTTATATTAATTAAAATTATTAACAACAATCAAATTAATTCACCAAAAATAGGGTAAATTAAGAAAAAGATTATTAGTATTTACTCGTTACAATAATCAAAATGTCGACAAATTACCCTAAAACAACTTAAACACTTTAGAACGAAGAGAAAGTCATCAATACAAAATGTCGACAATTACCCTAAAAACAAATCTTAAACACTTTAGAAACGAGAGAAGTATCAATATTTTCTTTGATTATTTAAAAATAAAAATTGAATTTATATCAGACTCGGAGTTTTTTAATTTCAACACCATAATGATACTTTTTTTTTGTTAATACTTTAAAATTATCTTTGTTTTTTTTGTGTAAAAATATGAAATTTTTGATTTTCCTTAGCAGAGGGTTCATAAAATGCCTTTAATGAAAAATCATACTTTCGTTTGTGTTATGCTTAATAATTATTTTCTGTAAATAAGACAAATTATTTAACAGTTTTATTACACTCATTAAGTCAGCTTCTTTATTCATACCTTAAGATTTGGTTTTTTTCCTCATTAAGATGGTTAAAATTTATCTTTTTTGGACTCACAAGCACTTCTTATTTCCATGTCTTCCACTATGTATGAGATAGACTACGGTAATATTTTTCAGTCTTCCCCTCCAATATTCCGCTTTCTATGACTCACTGTGCGGGGGTCCTCCAACATGTGGGAACCACAGATATTGAAAAGAAAAAAGAAAGAAGGAATTCCAAAACGTGTAGGACCCACACATGTTGAAGAAACAAAATTATATTATATATATGAACGTTAGTTTTTTTTTCTTCATAAGACGTGCCAAACCAAAAAAGAAAGAAAAAAAAACAAAATTGACGTCTTCTCCTATAAAAGGAGAAGGCGTTTCCTCATTAGGCCGTACAAAACAAAACAAAAAAATAAAATTATAATTTTAAAGGAAAGGGTTTAAAATTGGAAAAGAAAGAAAATAGGAGGATTGTTGGGGTTTTTGTTTAAACACTTAGAGTGCACTATTTTTTGTAATCTCTTTTGTACCGTAACTATTTTTTTAGTGGAAGAATTGATCGGAGTTTTTGTCCGCGTGGACGTAGCCCATAACAGTGAAGGGTATACCACGTAAATCTCAGTGTTTCCTTATTTCATCTGCATTTCGATAATTATTTAATTATTTTTATCGTGGTTATTATTTCTGTGGGATTCGATTGTCATATCTAATATTAATTATTGGAGGTATATTTGGTAATAGTAATTTTGATTTTTACTTTTACCACCGGTATTTTTCCGGTGGGCCCCACTCAGATAAGTTATAATCCAACAACTGGTATCAAAGCCTGTTGGTTTGGTAATTTCTTGTCAAAGTTAACTATTCACGTGAAATAGTAAATTTCGTGAAGTAAAAATTTTGTCAAATTCAGAATTCCACATGGCTATAACGACGGGGCAATGATCAAAATTGACAAGATTTCGAATTTATTCCAATGTGGGAAATCCAGAATGGAGGCATACCTCAATTGTAAAGATCTTATACATCCAATTGAAGTGATGAGTGCATAAAGCCGGAAGAAAATTGAAGAAAGGCAGTGGGAGAAATTAAAAAAAGCAGACATTGGTACAATACGCCAATGAGATACGATGCTAGCCGTACAACCATGTGGAGAAATGAAAAGAATCTCAGTTTCTGGAAGAAATTGGAGAACATGTACGAGGCATACAAATGCTGAAAGGGGAAAAGTCTTCAATGATGCGTAAGTCATGAACTAAAGCTGTCAGAAGGACGATCAATTACCACACCTGAACGATTTTGAAGGACTCGTAAACTGAGTTAGCAGTTAGCGGTATGTCTTAGAAGATGAGATCAAGCATGCCCTACTCTGGGATCTCTACCGGATAGCTTGGGATAACTCTTGTGGTATCATTGAGTAACTCAGCTCCAAATGGTGTGATAACGATGTCTATGGTAAAGAATAGACTACTTAATGAAGAAGCTACGAAGAGAGATGTTCCAGTACCATTTCAGCAGCCCTTGTCACAGAGACATAGGGCTGTGAGCAAAGAGTAGAAGTCCCAAGGCATGTAAAGTCAAGTGTGGTAGATCCAAGTCCAAGAGAGATGAAAAATGTTAACCATTGTGGTAAGGAGGGTCATCTAAAAAAAATTGGTCCGTTCAACTCCATACAGGATAATGCAGACCGAAGATAGGAGAATGACAGAAATACATCTGCTAAGCAGTCTCAGAGAAGATGGTGGAGGTGACTTTAGTCCACTCATGATTGCAGATTGCCTTGTCAATGTTGAGATGCAGATACCGAGTGGATAGTAAGACTCCGTGCTTCATACACTGTGTTCCAAAAAAGGAATATTTTCCACTTATAAGCAGGAGACTTTGGCCCATTAAATGGGAAATATAATGTCTCGCAAGTGGTGGGAATCGTGATATATGCTAAAAAACAAGTGTAGGGTGCACATACACACCTTAAAAATGTCGACATATTCCCAATCCTCGGTTTTGAACTTTGTCTGTGATGTACTAAAACAAGGAAGCTATCACCATCAAATGACAGGGTGGCGGTAATTGGAAACTCACAAAAGGTCTTTGGTGGTGGCGAGAAGAAAATTATATTGCCTGGCTGTATAAGACGCACACATAATAATGTCGGGTCAACTGTGAATACTAATTGAAGATGATGCTGTCACCAATGTGTTGCATAGGCGAGGCTGCCGCACGTTTAAGTGAGAAAGGGTGAATATGTTGCTAAGAAGTCCCCTCATCCCATTAGCCCAAAAGGTAAAAAAAAACCCTTGTGAATATTGTTATTTGGGAAGCAACATCGGGTCCCTCATTTTTTGAAAAAGCTCTATGAAGGAGAGACAAACAAGTGGAGTTGGTAGCACTCTGAGTAATGTGGTCCCATGGAGGTAGATCACTTGAGGAAGAAGGTATTTTTTCTGTACCTTTCATTGAATGATTTTCCTCAAGAAAAACATGATATATTTGTTGCGCACAAAAACCAAATGTATTCAAAGCACTTTCAGCAATTTTCATGCTATGGTGGAAAGGAGACTGGAGTGGCCTTGAAGTGTTGTGCACGGATAATGGTGGGAAGTAATCTC